CCGATGAGATGTCCTATATGGTATCCTATGAAGGGTTCAGGGTTTAGGGTTTAGGGTTTAGGGTACGGGGGGCAACCAAAGGGGGACAGGAAACGAAACAGTCAACCCCAGAAGAAGCCCTTGTTTCCCCTGGACCAACCAACAACAAACCAACCCAAAACACCAAGCACCCTTTCTTCACTAGGCGCATGGCGATCTTGAGCCAAAAATGATACCGGGTACATTGACCCTTGAGCCTTTTACACCAACTCTTTTCCTTAATACAAACTGCAGCTCCGCGCTCCCCCTGTCCTAGGATTTCCTAGGACACAAACTGGAGGTGCAGACTTTTGGCCAAAAACTGCCATTAAGGCAGCAGCCAGCTGCTTGGAATGCAAGTTGTGGTTTTACGTCATCCAGGACGAATTTATAGCACATTGGCTAAACACCTTTTACTATAGAGAATCTTTTTACCACCATGATTCTCTTGTCATTGAAGACTCTCAGCCTTCTTCACCACGAACCGTGGTCTTCGCTACGCAAACAGCTGTACACTCTCTACTATCAGGGATTTCCATACCCTTAATAGTAACCACCATACTTCCAGCACGTTGGCTGTTCCAGCGCACTTGTCTTCAGAGAGAAAAACCCATTCCCTCATCAATACCATCCAGTCATCCCTTCTTCTTCTTCCGATGGGCATCGATGCTTAGGTGAAGTCGCAGCAAAACGTATTCCAGGTCCGACACTGTAAGAACAGGATCTTGCACACACCTTTGAATTGAGGATACCAACCCCTCTCTCTTCGCGTCCTCAATTGCTTGGCAGGATTGTCCCAGTTCTGCATTAACAGTGGTAGATGACTGCGCATCCACTTCAGAAGGACGATCCTTCTCATCAGGACCTTCCACCACTACCACCTCTTCCTTCTTGGGGCTTTGACTTTTCTCTTTCTTTTTCGTCTTTCCCGAGACGCTTGCCTTAGTGCGCATTCTCGAAGAGGCCTTTTCCCTCCAGATACCACCGCATTGGATGATGATCCACCCTTCTCAATGTTAACCGGCATCTTCTTCGGCTTTGGAACCAGAAGAGTGTATGGATCCTCACTTGCAGCAGTTTTCCTCTTCTTTTTGGCCATTTTCACCTCTTCCTCAACGGCAACATCCGTCTCCGAAGTTCCAACCACCTCCTTTTTGGCAGGATTATCCTTACTGGACTCCCTTTCTAGGGACCTCTTTTTGTCCCTTTTTGGATCTCTCTCTTCTTTCATATTGGCTCGCTGGAACCATATCCTCAACTCATCGATCCACTCTTCAACCTCCACCAGTGGAATCTCATATGACTTCACTATCTCGTGAAGTTCCAATGAAGACAGCATGCCAGTAGTCCATGTACACCATTCTGCGTCCCTTTGGTCAGCATCTCCATTGAACTTTAACAGTTTAAACACCGGATCCGCTTCCGCGCGGGCCAAATCTGACTTGCCATCAGACATGTAAGAAATTGCCTCCATCAGCAATTCTATCATCCGGGTGTCGTCGTCGTACCCCATCAAATCCTCATCATCTTCATCATACCGTTCAGGAGAAATTTCCTTTCCTCCACTTCTTGTACCAGTACTCCTCCGCGGACCATCCCTTGGGGGCGTCCTTGGAGACCTTGGCCTCTGTTCATCCAGCGGATCACCATGCTCAAAGACACACCCGTCCCCATGACGGCACTTCCCAGACCGAGCAAACTGGATACACCTTACACCAGTTGCGTCGTGAGAGAACTTACAGTCCTCTCCAGCGTAGCAGTGTCTTCCAGCCACATAGTATTTGCACCAATACGATTGCAGCACCACATCATCATTGGAATGAATAAACTTGCAGTTCTCACCAAACTTGCAGCGATTGTTCCCTTTTGCAAACCAATAGCAGATACCTTGTCTCCTTTTTGACAAACGTTCTGCTTCAAGACGATCCATCGAACAATCCCGCACGACATGGACATTGCCATGATCTGGAGAACTACCTTTTTCACCCAAGGTGCTATCAATGTTTGATGCATCAAGAACAGCTGGAAAACCTGGTCTTGGTCCTATCATTGGTTTCCCACCAGCTCCTGAGCCATTCTGAGACGATCCAAAAACATTGAACGCTTTCAAGAAGGCCTTTCTAGTGCCGATCTTCCGCACCTTTTTGATTGGATGATTCATTGCTCCAACCTTGGATCCAGATACATTTGAACGACACAACCTCCTATACCCAGCTCTATATCCCTTTTTCCAAAGAGCCATAAGAATTCTAGAGGCAGTAACATTCTCCACCTCTACCCTTTCGGACTGTCCCTCACTTTCCGGAACAAACCCATTCAACCCATCCATATCTGAAGACCTTTCCATCTTTTTTGACATCACTTCGTCGAGATAATCTTCAGAGATCCAGGGTAAATTCCTCTTAGAGGAAAAATGGTCACCATTGTTCGGTCCTTCACCAGGATACCCCTTCGTGCTGTCAAAGATCCTACCCGTAGCGCGGTCCTGCATAGAGAAATCCCAGTTGGAAGCGACACGAGAATACACCGACCACAAGAACATTCTGGTGCCAGCCAATCTTGATGAACCACTGGATGTCTCCTCTTCTGGAGAAACTTCTGGCGCTTTGCCATCACTTCCAGTGTCACCAATTGTCTCACTTCCAGCATCTTCGATGGGAATAGGGGATTCATTGATCCCTTGCTCAAATACCGCATCTTGCTGTTCGGGGATCCCAGCACCATCCCTGAAGGATCCACTTCCTCACAGCATCGTCGTCCATCCTCTTCCAGAGAACCTCCAATTGATCAGCACAAGTCGCCGCCTGAAGGAACTCCATCATTTGGTCCCTCCCGCGCTGCCAGAGAAATTCTGAATTCACCACCAACCCTTGGCCTCCTAGGGTAAGGAACGGAGCAACCAGGTTGGCTACCCTTGCCATAAGTTCCACATGAACTTCCATGCCTGGACTGCGACTCCAATCGTAGGCTATTGCCTCCATAGCAGTTCCAAACTTTTCAGTATTTCTGAATTCCCTTTCCAGGCCAGGAGATAGCAATGCACCCATCACCGAAAGAGGATAATTTCCCACCACCGGCAAGCACGGATCTTCATGGAACGAATGATGCAAATCTCCGTAATGTCCTTGATCTCTCCTTTGAAAAAGGAGTCTCCCAGTGTTCAGCTGGGCATTCAGTTCATCCACTTGAACCATTTCAGCACATATCCTCTGCGCTGCAGTCGCTATTGCCGGCCAGATGGCACGATCGGCCAAACCGCGACGCGTAACCCAATCAGTTGTTGGCGACTGAATCAGCGTTCGTGGGTCATACGCCATAACCACCAATGTACCATCATCCATTCTCTGATCAGCATCGTCTTCCAGTGCCAGGTTCAAATCCTGTTCGCTTGCACCTTCGGATGACATGCTAATAACCAAATTTCGATCCATTTTATTGGACCCCTTCTGATAGTCATTTTGCCCCACAGGCAACTTGCCGACAGCAACCTTCCAATAAATCCGATTCAGAAGGCCTTTGGTAAGCAATTGCTGATGGCCCTTCTTCACCGGAAGAACATCCAATATTTTCGTACCATCACCACGGAGTTCATTGCTCCCACCTTCTCCTTCTTTTTGGTCAGTCTCCTCGCCAGGAATTTGTACTGCTCCTTCCAGCGCCGTCTCCTGTCCAGCCACATCTTGCCCAGGTAGAACTTGAGCGCTTTCAGATACGTTCACCTGTCCAGCAACACCTTGCCCAGGTAAAAACCTCATCCGTGGAGCCCGCCGCCAGCGAACCAACTATAACTGAACTGAACAGCCTCCACAGCTCTCGTCTGTACCTCCCAGTCACTCTGCCCCTTCCCGAGACAGCTGACTCTGCCGTGGTCTCCAACCCCAGCAGCGGTTGCCAAAGAGCTCGAACAACTGGCCGCCTCTCCAGCAGCCCCAACCACTCTCCACGCGCAGCACAGTCGAGGAACTATGCCACCAAAGGTGGAGAGGCCCGGCACACAGGGCTAGGCTGCTACCCTACAAGTGGCTAGGGTCCCGGCCACACAGCTAGAGCACTTTCGGTCTGACCAAGGCCGAGGACCGGTAGTGCTCCGCTACCATGCGACTTTTCTCTAAACCAAAAGCCTTCGTCCGTAGCATGTTTCTCAACTATACAAAATGGTCAAAAGACTCTATGCACATGGGAAATTTTGGGTTTATCAGATGGGCAGAAAAAATCGGTTCACCTTGGCGAAGAGCGCGACAAAGCGTCGCGGGGGGAGACCCGCCAAGAAGTGACTTCTCAAGTTTTTTCGCTACCACAACCTTCTCGTCCAACTGAGCAGAACCAAAGATCGATCAGCAGGCTTGGAGTGGTAGAGTACGAGAACATCAAGCGCTTGCTGCAGGTGAACGATCTGGTGAGCTGCCTTCTGGCAAGACAACCCGCTGAGAGCACAGTTCGTCGAGGGCCTTAAGCAGGTCCGAGACCCAGGCGACAGTGGGTCGGATCGGACCGGAGGAGGGTCAAGGAGCTCTTCAGCTTCTTCCTCGTCGTCTTCTTCGGCGGCTGGATCTTCGAGTAAGGCCTCGGCAAGATCGTCTGGTGTGAAGAGACCTACGACACGATCAGAGAGCAGAACTTCGGCGCGATCGTCTGGTGTGAAGAGACCTACGACACGATCAGCGAGCAGAACTTCGGCAAGATCGTCTGGTGTGAAGAGACCTACTACACGATCAGAGAGCAGAACTTCGGCAAGATCGTCTGGAGTGAAGAGAACACCTACGCGATCAAGGAGCAGATCTTTGGCAAGGTCGGCTGGCCCGAGGTGATCGCTGAGGGTGAGTGTCATTTTTGAAGTTCACGGCTAGGTCCTTGCAAAGCGTTTGTTTGCGATGTCCCAGGCTGCAGAAAGTTCACAATTACCTCAAGCCCCAAACCCGTTCAGCCCAGCACATGGAGCCCAATCTCCCGGATCTCCTTCCAATGTGCAGTATGAAGCAGTGATGGACATGCTTGCTCGTGTTGTGACACAGAGTGCTGAGCAGACCCGCCAGATGCATGAGACGCTGGACCTGCTTGCGCGGCGAAATGTGAATGAGAATGGGATGTGGGCTAAGCTGATAAGCAAACCCGAGCAGTTCAAACCAAAGAATAGGGAGGAGGAATTGGTGCAGTTTCCGGATTGGGCATGGAGCTTTAAACAATATCTTCGGGTGGTGAGTCCTTCCGCATGCACCTTGCTAGATGAGATTGAAGCGAATCCGAATGACATTTGCGACCATGACACAATGATGGATGAGGCTGTCGAGCATTCTCGACAGATGTACTCCCTACTTGCTTCCCTTCTCCGCGAGAGGCCACAACAACTGCTTCGATCTGTTCCTGAAGGGAATGGATGTGAGACTTGGCGCCTCTTGGTCTCAACCCTTGCACCCTCTTCGAAATCCCGTTCGCTTGCATTGTTAGGGGCAATTTCACAGTTTCCGTCTATGTCGGTGCAGAACGTGCATGAGCAAATCCTCAAACTTGAAGAGCTTTGCCGGAAGTACGAGCAGTCCTCCCACAAAGAAGTTGATCCAGAACTCAAGGCAGCAATCTTGGTGCGAGCTCTTCCGGCTAGCATCAAAACCCACGTGTCGCTGCAGTGCAAGGAGGATGCTACGTATGAGACAATTCGAGAGACAGTCCTTCGGTATGAGAGAACAACACAGAAATGGACGAGCCAGATTGTGTCGGGCGAAGATAGTTCAGCTCCTATGGAAGTGGATCGGGTGAAAGGTGATCCTTGGAGGAAAGGAGACAAGGGCAAAGGCAAGGGAGGAAAGGACAAAGGAAAAGGAAAAGGATATGGAGCATGGACTTCAGGAAAAGGTCATGGGTTCCACAAAGGACAAAGGAAAGGAGGAGGAGAGAAAGGAGATAAAGGAAAAGGGAAGAAAGGAGGAAAGGACAAAGGAAAAGGAAAAGGAACGGTGCCAGATGACACATGCAAGATTTGTGGGCGCAGAGGCCATTGGTCTCGAGAATGCTGGCAAAATCCCGCGAACAAGAGAAAGGTGAACCAGGTCAACAATGAGTCCTCAAACCTTGGGCCCCAGACTACCTCCTCAAGTGCAACCGCTACGGGGTCGGCAACCACCACGGGTTCGACAAAACCATCAAGCAGCAGTGCAAGCATCAAGCGAGTGTTCAACCTTGCAGATGATGAGAGTGTTCCGTTGTGCACTGTGTACCAGCTTCATGACGATGGCGAAGAAGAGAGAGAAGAAGAGAGCGAGTGGTGGTGTCGGTGTGTCACGGAGTACTTCGACATTTCAGATTCCGAAGATGAAATCCAGGAAACCACGGATGATGTGTGGGAAAGCTTTGACATGACAGTCGATGGTGCCCTTGAAGGTGATGAGGTGTGGATCAAGAACTTCGTTCGCATGGTTGATGATAATGAAGAGAGCCAAAGCAAAGAGCTAGGAGGCCAGTGTTGGGAGATTGTCTTGGATTCGGGCGCGGATGTCTCGGTGATGCCTGAGGCATGGCTGTCGAAGGGTAGTGAACCAGAAGCTTCCCAAAGAAATGTTCGCATGTGTGATGCTCAGGGAAGATCAATGCCCAATTTGGGAAGCCGGTTGGTGACATTAGACCTTGGCCCCGCGTGCATCCAGGAGCAGTTCCATGCATCTTCGGTAGGTTCCCCACTTCTGAGCCTTGGGCGTCTGTTGAAGAAGGGTTGGTCCTTGGAAAGGAAGAACAATGTCCTGTGCTTGTGTTGTGAAGATGTGAGTGTGCCCGTGTCCTTCAAGAGAAATTCCCTCGTGGTGGAAGCATCGGTGTTCGCAGTCCGGGAGGCTTCCGATGGGAGTCCCAGGAACCCAGCCGAAAGAATCCAACCGCTACCAGAAGGTCGTCGAACTTTCGCCAAGTTGAACTTCGATCCCGAAGAGTTAGCTGCTTCAGGAGAAGGGCAGGAGGATGCTGAGGGGCGAAAGTGGACCTTTGTTGCAGGAGGGGATCCAGTATGCATCTCGGTTGGCCTCAAGTTTGTGAATCCATCTCCTCCCCTTAACTTGGGTGTTTGGAAATATCGAACGACTTTGGTGAAAGTGGCTGGTCGGTGGGAACTCTTAGAGCTACAACAGAATGTGAACAACTTGTCAAGTTGCGATGAGTACCTTCCTGGCATTCTGTATGAATCGATGACGGTGACAGTGATGCAAAGGACCTTGCGATCGTTGGAAGCCACCGGGATAATCTTAGAAGAGACCTTGTCCCCAGCAAATGCCGAAGCGCCCCAGCCTGATGAAGGTGAAAAGACCATCGAGACCTTGGGGGCCGAGATCGGAATGCCTGATGATGCCAATCTGTCGGATCCCGAGCCGATGCCGGAGGTTGCGACCCCTGGTATTCAGTTGGAGAGACCGATTCCGGACAGCATTGAGATAGAGGGTTTGAACTATGATGCCAACTCGTCGGCGGCTGACTTGAAGAAAGCGTGTAAGCATTTGGGTATTGGAGCGAGTGGGTCAAAGACCGTGCTCTACAAGAGATTGGTAAGGCATTTGCATCGTAGACAAGCTGAAGATGACCTGAGTCTTCAAGAGGCAGCTCGGTTTCCTACCCGAGATCCAAGGCCTGAACCTTCAGCACCAGAGACCCCAGATGAGGCCACTGTGGCCCAACACAACCTGACTCACATCCCCTTCCAGAAGTGGTGCCCGCTGTGCGTTGCAACAAGGTCCCGAAGAGATAAACACAGTCCGCATAGTGAAGCTCATCGGTCTGAAGGTGGATGGCCCTTGCTGTGCTTGGACTTCTTCTACTCCTCAGTGGAAGAAGAAACTTTGGAGTTCATGAAAGCAAGCCCGGAAGAAGAGCCCCCGAACAAGCGCCTGGTGTTGACATGTGTAGATCGTGAGACAGGCATGATTCGAGCAATCCCTTTACCTTCGAAGCAGACAAGCTCACTGCTGTATGCAGCCCGGGAAGTGCTCTCTTTCTTGGCGTACTTGGGAAGATCTGAGGCTGAAATTCGAGCCGACAACGAGCCTTCGATGCTGCACTTAGTTTCGCGCATTGTGAATGCCCGAACAAAGGTTGGCCTAGCTACTCGCCCCAGCCCTTCACAACCTTATGAGCATCCCACAAATGGACCTGCAGAACAATCAATTCAATCAGTGCGAGATATCGGGACTACTCTTCTTGAACAGGTTCGGAAATGTGGGTTCAGAGTGACCGCTGAGAGCGACTTGGTGGGTTGGGCTTATGTGCATGCGTCGATGCTCCACAACATGTACGCAGTACAAGGAGGAATGACGGCTTATGAGCGAGCTTTCCATGTGAAGTACACTGGGAAACTGGCGTGCTTTGGAGAAGCCGTATACTTCGCACTGGCGAGTCCTCACGTCAAGAAGGGAAAGCCAAAATTCGTCAAAGGGTTGTTCTTGGGCAAGACTCTCCAGAACGATATGTACATATGCGGGACGGCGTTGGGGGTCTATGTGGCTTCGACAATCCGACGGTTGCCGCAAGATCAGGCATGGGACAAAGTAGTCCTCAAGGAATTCCAAGGGAAGCCATGGAAGTATGGGTTGGTATCTGCAGGAACGAAGCTTGTCCCTGGTTTGAAAGATCGTCTTCCACAAAGTGTGGAGTCTTTGCCTCTACCTCTTCCCACTCCCGTTCCACTACCACAAGAAAGCCCTGGGGATGAGGCTGCCTCCGATCCCTCCGAGAGTTCTTCCGAGAGTTCGACAACAAAGATGAGCAGTTCAGGAGGGGATGGGGTGTCGAAGGCAGGAGGGGATGAGCCAAGAGAAGAAGAAGAAGAAGAAGAAAGAAGAAGAGGAAGGAAGAGAACCGCAGATGTTCCTGTAGAAGATGTAGATCCAGCTCGACCTGAAGCACCTCGAGAAGAAGCGTGAGCATGGACAACTTCAAGCTCCCCCGCTGTATGCAGGAGAGGCTCCAGTGAAGAAGGTGCGAGCTGTCCGGGTAGGCGAAGAAGAGTATCATGTCGGGGATGAAGATCTTGATGATTGGTTTGAGGGACTTCAGTTTGATGCGAAATTCTTGGATGAAGATCTTCCAGATTTCAGTCCTGAAGAAGAAGGTCTTGAAAACTTACGATCAGAGAATTCCGAAGCTGAGGGGCCACCGATCCTCACCGAAGAGCAATTGGAGGTAGTGGAAGAGGAGTCAAAAGCCACAGAGCTGAATCGGTTGCTGAGCATGGGAGTCTTGGTGGAAGTCCAGTACGAGCCCCCGTACGAGAAAACCCTCAAAACCCGATATGTGATGGATTGGAGGTACAGAACCCACAAGTGGATCCGACGGGCTAGATTGGTCTGTAAGGAACTCAAAATTTGGAATCCATTCCGACAAGACACATATTCCCCAGCGACATCACCGTCGATGTTGAGATTGCTTCCTCACCTCTTTACGTCCACACCTGGCTGGGAACTTCGAGCCTTTGATGTTAAAGATGCCTTTTTTGATGGTACCCCAGAGAGAGACTTTGTACATCAGATTGAACGAGAAGACGTACAAGGTTTTGAAGTGCCTCCCGGGGCAACAGATCGCGCCGGTGTACTGGCACGAGCAACTGAGTGGAGATCTTCGCGAAGCTGGGATGGAGAGTAACCTTGCTTGCCCGGTAGTCTTTGGGGGTCCACAGAAAGGAACAACGATTCATGTGGATGATGGCTTGATGGGGGGAACCGCAAAGGCACTGGATGAGGTGACCAATGTCTTGAAATCCAAGTATAAGTTGGAAGTTTCGGACCCTTTGCGCCGCCCAGGTGATCGACTTCGGTTCCTGAAGAGAACGTTCGAGGTGGTGGAAGAAGGACTTCAAATCTCTGTGGATCCTAAGTATCTCGAGAAGGTCGTAGAGATCTTGGGGATCACTCACCCGAGAAGTCGAAAGGTCCCTTCGACTCAAGAGATCCGAGCCAGTGATGATTCCCCACCATTGTCCCCGGCATCCGCGGTTCAGTACCGAGCAGCTTTAGGGTGTATCTTGTACATTGCCCCCGATCGACCTGATTGTCAGCACACAGTGAGCATGCTTGCAAGGGGAATGTCCAAACCCAGTGAACATCAAATGAAATGCCTGAAGTACTTGGCCGAATATTTGTACTCCACCCGGGATTATGCCCTCACCTTGAGATGGTCGTATCCAGGCCGAACCTTGCTTGATGAATCCCCGCGTGAAAGACCTGATGAAGTGCCGGAGGAAAACCCTGAACCTCGAGTACGAATCCTGGAAGCCATCAGCGACTCAGACTGGGCAGGCAACAAAGACCGGAAAAGCTTGAGTGCTGGAGCATTGTTTTTGGACGGGAACCTGATGTTTTCCTACGCCCGAAGACAAGCCTCGATAAGCCTATCTTCATGTGAAAGTGAGCTCGTAGCATGTATCATGTACTTGTTCATGTATGTTTTATAAACTACGTTCGTGCGTCATTTTGGCTTTAGAGTGGTGCTTGCTAGCGAGAAAGTCAAGTTTTTTGTCACATTCTTGCTTGCATGTGAGTCGCATTTGCTTTGGTCGTCATACATTATTTTGCGGTAGCTTTGCATTTTACACTACCAGTTTTGAACCGTTCTCCGGGGGTGAGCGGGAACACTCCACAAGTGAGTGCATGGAAGAGTCGTGTGCCCGACTTGACAGTTCGCCGGCACAGCTGCAGTTGCAAATCCACGAGTTGCACAGCCAGATTGAGCATCTTAGATCTTATACGGCTTTTTTGGAGCAGCGCTTGCATCGTATTGAGCAGGAAGATCAGAGGGTTCGCCGGGACCTGCGTGGCCAGAGAAGCACCTCTAGCATAGGCTGCCTTTCGGTTCGGCTCTTGCACCTTGAGAGTTGCTTCAGCTTTCTTGTGCGTTCAGTTCAGAACAGCTTCCCAAGGCCTCCAGGTTTTTGGCAAAGCTTGATTGAAGACTAGAGGGTTGCAGGATGAAACGCCCGACGGATCCTGATGATAAGCACTTCAGTAAAGCAAAGAGCAAGTGTGCACCACCACCCCTGGGGGGGCTTGCGCTACCAGTTGACAAACCTAAAGGAACCGCTCCCCCTCTGCCGGCGGCAGGTCTTGCCCAGCCTTTGTACTCCCAGGGACGACGCATTGAGCCAGTTCCACGTGCCGGGCAACCTCTGCCCGTTCCTGTTGCGGCATCCAGCAGGAGCGATTGTGGTTCCGATGCTGAAGAAGAATCAGCCAGACACTTTGCCAGGTTTCGGCAGTCCTTCGCAGAATCCAACCAACAGCGGCAAAGTAGTTCATCGTTTCTCTTGAAAGCTGCCCCGAAGCGAAAGCCAGCAAAGGCGGCCGATCCCCACCATCCCAAGTTCCAGCAGATTGCAGGTTTCTCCCAGATGGCCTTGTCACTGTTTTGGGGTGTGCTTGTTTTTATGGGTGATTGTAGTGGATTGTTCAAGCAGATTCAGTGCTCCGAATTTGCCAGTCATCACACCTCGCGAATTCTTTCCGGGTATGCCACGAACACGGTGCTCCGTTACCTGGCAGCTTGGTCACACTTTGTGGCGAACCTTGAAGGGCTAGGCCTCTGTTTTGGCAATCTTGATAGTGTTATGATGGCAGACATACTAGTCACCATGTCCCTTGAGAAGCATGGAGACCCTACTCTGGGTTCAAGCTGTTGCATGACAATCAAAGCACTTCGTTGGCTATGCAAAGTCGCAGAATGTACCATCTTATCGTGCGCGTATGAAAAAGTGATTGATTCTTTTCTGAAGTCAAAAATTCCTCGTGAACGCCGTGAGAGTTTCCCACTACCCACTTGGGTGCTCCAGCTGTGGGAAAGACGCATCTTGATGAAGCAGGCATCATTCCTTGAAGTGGTTGTGCTTGGTGGTTTTTTGGTTGCTGCCTGGGGTTCATTGCGATTTGCGGATCTTCAACGTGTGGAGTGGAGTTCATTATCTTTTGATTTACATGTCCTTCGTGGTACGTGTTATGCGACCAAAACATGTCACACCGGGCAGCCCTGGGGCATCCTTGCGTCAGGTATTCTGTCTCGTGGGACGCATTCTTGGGTTAGCAAATACCTGCATGCCCTTGACAGGCTAGCTACAATGCATGTTCGAAACCACCCAGATTCGTGGCTTCCATCGTTCTTGCTTCCAGCAGTGCAAGGCGACAGCTTCATGTTGCCCCTGCAAGCTATGTGCTATGCTGAGGCGCTGAGGTGGTTGAGGCATTTTCTCCTCATGCCTTGGGCGTCCGCACCACCAGAGGTACCGCCCCTCAATTTCACAGTGCACAGTCTCAAGGCCACTATGCTTTCCATGTCCCTTCAAGTCAATGTTGATGAGGTTGATAGGAAACGTCAAGGGCACCACCGCATAAGCAGCTCCGCTCTTTATTCCCGTGATGATGTTCATGGCATGCTTCGGTGCCAATCTTGCATTCGTGATAGCATCCGCACAGGCTTCCGATTTTTGGTCCCCCAGCACAGAGGAGGGCAGCAGCCCTTGACACCAGCGTACATCCCGCCGGAAGCCTTCTCTAAGGACTACGAGTTTGAACCCTTCCAGTGGTTCTCGTTTCAACTTGATGGCAGTGACGATTTGCTTCAAAGCAGTAATGGGAGTTGGGAGGTCGCAGAAAATCAAATAGTCACCCCTGATCCAGATATAGAGGCGCTGGACAAAGATCTCGTGTACCACTCCGACCCAGGATCTTCAGATGAGAGCGAGGAGGAACCTTCGGCACCCCCGGCCGAAGAGCACGACTTAGGTGAGCCTGAGGAATTCTTGCTGGGCTCCTGCACCGCGGTGTTGCATGTGCTCTGCCCTTCAGATGCTTTGTCAGGCACTCTTGTCAATGGGACATATATGCGTGCAAAGTGTGGTGCCACTCTTCCGGCCGATCGGCTCATGATCCACACGTCAGTGCCATCTTCGTGTCGGTTGTGCAGACGCAGTGCATGCTTGGCAGCTTTATCTTGTTGTTCCGAGGAGTGAGCTGGAATGTTCGAGTCAGAAAAGTGTGGTTGTTGTTTTGCGTATGCATCAATGAAACAGCAGGCTGTCATGTTGCACATGTCCACCAAGGGTTAGATTGTTGCTATGATCTTGACATGCTTTTGGTGTTTCTGCAGGCAGGCGCTCGATTGGGCTAGCAAATCCCCAAGGAAAGATCTTTAGGAGTGTGGCGTCTTGCAAGAGTTTCCCGTGGTAGTCAGAAGATGCCCAGGAAGTCTCGTACATGTCAGATTCGTTGCTTAGCATGCTCATTTAGCTCACGAGAACAAAGCTTTGTCTTCCTATCTAAGAATCACATATTGGTCTAGCGCTAAACACCAACATTAGCCCTGCGGTATCTTGCATGTAATGGCTGATTCCGAGTTGGAGAGTGCACTGGCGAAGGAAGGCTTGGCAGCAGAGGTCATCAAAGTGGCCACGGAAGGGGGCTGGACAGCCTCGGCGTTCAAACACGTTGTTGAAACTCAGGCAGAAGTTGAGGGAGCCATCCCCGAGATCTTCCCAGGTCAGATTTTGTCTCGGTTGCAGATAGCCCAGATCAAAGCAGCGTGGGCGGGCATGCAAACATCCAGTTCCTCTAGTGCTCTACCGGCCCCTGTCAACGCAGATCCTACTTTGGAGACATGGGTAGAGAGTTTTGCTCCCAAAATTGCATCCACGAAGCTGTCCGAAATGAAGCGCCAATTCCTTGCAAATTACCCAAGTGAGGTCTTGAATCCATCTACTCTACCCTCTTTGAGGCTGATTTCCCTCGCAGCTCATCAAGAGGCACGTTCGGAGTATAAATGGATAGCTTGGAAACATCGCATGACGGAAGAGAAAGCTTCGGAGTTGTTAATTGCCAGACCCCACAAACAGCCCAAGCTCGAAATGCTGGGTCTTTCCAGCTTGCTCCTTGATGATCCGCCTACAATCGAAGTGACCGATGCCAATATGGGTATCAGTGGCATCCAGCGAATCTTGGCAGTGCATGACGTTGCGTTGGCCATGGTTGGCTCTGCTCACCTTGCCCGCCTTAAAGCCTACAGCTGCAAGTTCGTCCAGCTTGTGTCCCAGCGTTTCGACCCAACATCAGGCCTGCGTGCACCGACAATCCTAGAAGCGCAACAGGCAGATTGTCGGATTTGGCAGAGCATCCATTCTTTAGTCAGTGAGAAAGCTTGGAGCTTGAATGACGCGTTGCATGAGTTCACTGAAATCAGAGGTGAGCTTAGCACCTTGCTGCAGGCTCGTCCGAAAGCTTTGTTCATCCCCCGCGGCCCCGATCTCAAAGGCAAGGGGAAGCAGGTCGGCCAATGGAAAGGCCTCGGCAAGGGCCAGGGCCGGGGCAAAGAAAAGGGCGGTAAGCCCAAGGGCGCTCCAGGGAGACACATCACCTTCGTGAAAGAGATCCAAGTGGGATCTGAGAAGAAAGGGCTGTGTGTCCAGTGGCAGATTGGCCGCTGCACAAGGGGAGGCTCCTGCCCCTTTGTTCATGCATGTGCATACCCCAAGCAGGATGGATCAGCGTGTGGGAGCAAGTCGCACACAGCCTCTCAGCATGAACAGACGCCTCACTGATTCGAACCTACCCTTGTGCCGTGGCAAAGAATCCCGAATTCAGATTTGCAGTCTACAGAGGTATCACCCCCAGATGCCCCGCATCCTATGCAATCTCACACTGAGCCAGTTCAGTCACACCCTTTGTCGCCTTGTATGTCAGTATCACCTCAACAGCCTCTTTCAGCAAAGCACCAGGCAGGTGCAAATCGTGTTGCTGGGTATGATATCCAGCCGGCAGCTCGGCCAGCCGAGCCTGTAAATGTGCTTCCGAAATCGGTCTCCTTGTTGGAGACAAATGCTGGGCCTGTGTCGTCGCCAGCAGTGCAATGTCCTCAGGGCAACATCCCTTCACAACCCGTGTTGGGTGATGTCACGTGCAACATGCCTGGTCGTTCCAGGAATGAGGTAACACCCGGGCAGGTGGGTGTTACACATGTTGCAGAAGAAGGTTCCTCATGCATACATGACTTTAAGTCCTGTCTTCAGGCATTACTTTCTGCCTCTTGGCCTCCACGCGTGCTTCCAGCCAGGAGCGTTACTTCAGCGGCTCCGGGGGAATCGGGATACTGGAACTTTGGGGTACGCCTAGGGAATCCTTCGGCCCGTTCATCAGTTACGGATGCACTCCCACAACTGTGTGCAAGCCTTAATGGGTTCTTGTGCCAACTGTTCCCAGGTGAGACTTGGAATGCCTTGTGTGTCAGCAGGAACATTTTGACGTCCCCGCACAAGGACACAGCAAATTCGCCGGGGTCGTCAAATTTGACAGTGGGGATAGGTTCGTACTCGGATGGAGGCCTTTGGGTCGAGGACCAAGCAGGCACTGTACCGCAGTTCATCCCCAAGCTTGGGGTGACTCTCCCGGGCAAGATCGTCACAACGCATCATGCGCCGTTTAAGTTCCCCGTACACCTTTGGCACTGCACCCAACCGTGGCTTGGCGATCGATGGGTGCTGACTGCCTTTACCCTCCCAGGCGTGTCAGGTGATACACTTAAGGGTTTGGGTTTCCCTTGGCCCCAGCCACGAACCAAGCCCCCAGCTCCGGTTACTACACCCGAACCCTGCCCCCCTTCTCAGCAGGCAGTTCCTAGCTTGGAGGTTAATTGGGGAAAGCCTTCTCCAAAGGGGTTTGCTCACCACCGCTTGATCTTGCAGCCCCAAATACCTCGCCCACCACCATCCTCGCCTGCCATAGTTCAGTCAGCGCTACAGCAGTCTTCAAGGATCTTCCTGGACATTTGTTCGGGCGCAGAGAAGCCTCTATCTTCAGCGGTGCAGGAGTTAGGCTTCCCAACACTTGCAGTTGATATCCTGTTGGATAGCAGCATGGACATTCTCGATAATACCTTTTTCGAGCAGCTCTTGTTCATCTGTGGCTCAGGTGTTGTGGGGTATTGTGCGGCATCCCCTTGCTGTTCGGAATACTCCCGCCTGAAACTCTTTGGAGGTCCCCCCTTTGCCATCCGCACACCAACCCAGCTAGGGGGCCTGGAGAACCTATCCCCATCAGCCCAGGCTCGTATACAAACAAGTCACGAGATGCTTTTCAGGGCGTGCAAATGTCTTCAAATCGTCCATGGGGCCGGGGGCCATGGCCATTTGGAGCAACCTTCAGGTGCTATGTCCTGGGAAGAATCGTACGTTCAAGGCTGGTTGCACTGTGGGTCTACAGCCCTCATTGTCCTCCCGGCCTGTGCTTTTGGGGAGAACTGGGCAAAAACTTGGCTGTTTGCATCGAGCTTTCAAGCCCTGTCCGTGATGGGGCAGACGTGTCAACACGGACGCAATGCACATGAGTCCGTGCAGGGACGTGAGAGTGATGGTTCGTTCAAAAGTCGTAAGACCGCTAAGTACCCCCAATGCCTGGCGGAAGAATTCGCGTTGCACATCAGGCCGCTTCTTGCAGGTGCACAGATTGAACACACTCTTGCCACCGCGTCAGCTTTAGTACCTGTCAAGGCCCTGGATGTTGGACCGTGGGTAATCCACGATGGGGCAGGTCGCCACTCTTGTGGGGATTGGAGCACCCCATTGTGCCGGGATAAGCTCAAAAATCTTCGGACATACCTTCTGGGGAAAGTTTGTGACATGCAGGGCCCCAAACGCCTGCTTGCTAAAGCCACTTGGCCCAATCCTGAACCCCTCTTCACCACTTCGGAGGTGCAAGATGCGCGCAAAGACTTCTTCTCCTGCTTAGGTGTGGCAACAGATGCAAATACATGGAAGGTCCGTGAGCATCAACCCTTGCATCTGCATGCGCTTGAGGCACTTGCCTGTTTTTGTGGTGATCCAGATGTGAGTCTTTGCAAATCCCTGTTGCAAGGCGTCCCCACGGGGTACAACAACGATATCCCAGTGTCAAATTGTTTTTGGCCGAATCAAAAAGAGAACCTTGAGGATGTATCATTGTCCATCCACATGCAGAATTGGCGCTCGGCCTCAGTGGATTTGTCCGTGACCCAAGCCTTGCTGCAGGAGGAGTTAGATCAGGGTTTTTGCTTCAAGTTTGATGGCGACATTGAGGCAGCTAAGGCAAAGTGGCCGGGTACACTGGCAATAGGCAAGCTCTCCGTGGTCCGTGCGCCCAATCGTTCTGAGAGGTTGGTCTTAGATAATTCAGTGTGTGGCACGAATGCAAGTTGCAGTGTTCCAGAAGTCCAGCATATGCCATCAGTGAGGGACGTGATGCACTGTTTCCCCCTTCGGGGCACCCGCTCGCGGCAAGCTGCCATTTCTCTTGATGTCAAAAGTGCTCACAAAAGGTGTGTTGTCAAGGAGTCCGAGCAGGGTCTCCTAGGTTTTGCTTTCGCAGATTCTCTGTACTTCTATCGCGTGGCCCCATTCGGGGCGGTCTTTGCACAGCATTGGTGGGGGCGCTTAGGCTCCTGCCTGCTTAGGTTGTTGCATATCTTGATTTGGTTCAGCCATGCAGGCCACTTGTTTGTGGACGACTACTTATTCTCTCAGGCGGAAGCCGTCTTACCAGCAACAGGGGCGATGATCTGCCTCTTCTTTCAGATTCTGGGGGTACCTTTGAGTTGGAAGAAACTTCAGGTTAGTTCTCGAGTTCAATGGATAGGGTGGTGTTTCTGTTACACCTCCGGGGTCGTGTCGCTTGCAGAGGAAAAAAGGTTAAAACTTTTGGGGATGGTTCAAGATCTTCAGCGTAATCCAAAAATTTCCCGTAAGGATTTGGAGAGGTTTGTCGGGCTTGCTCTTTGGGCGGCACACCTTTTCCCGACAATGAAGTCGCTTCTGTACACCTTCTATCATGATCTTTTCAGCCCGGCTGCTACCAACTACTCGGTGGCCCCAGACGTTTGGCCACAGCTTCGTCACCACTTGACGGATTCCCTGCAATTCAAATCGGTTCCCCCAGGTACAGCAATTCCGCTCCACAGTACACTTTTGTCAGTCCGACATCAGGATTTGTCATCTTTGGCTGACTTGGATCGCGTGCGCATTACAGACAGGCGGGTTTGGATGCGCGTCTCAAGTCAGTCCAGTTCGAAGAGAAAGCTGAGCACCGAATCAGTGCGCATTTTGGGTTTGTTCGAACATTGGCTTTTGCATATGTGCCCATTCTGCAGCATGCGCCCCTTAGGCAATGCATCCTTTGAGGCAAGAGCAGATGCAAGTGCACATGGCTCGATGTGCTGCATTGGTGGGTACGTTTCTCACCCCATGATAGGCCAGCGTTGGTTTCGAGAAAGCTTTTCCTACAGTGCCTTCCGGGCCCTTGAGATTCCAGTGCAAGCAGACATGCAGCTTGATATTGCTTGCTATGAAGCGCTCGCCCAGGGAGCGCTGATCTTGGCAACATCTTCTCTTTTACCTTGCGCCAGAATCCCCTTGCAGCTACGTTCCGCATCAGACAACACAGGTGCAGAGGCAGGTGTGAACGCTTCCTTCTCCACCGCTCGGCCTCTCTGTTTTTTCCTGGAAAGGATTTCTTTGCTGGCAGCTGTACATAGAACAACGCTGGATGTGTCACACATTTCCGGGGAACGCAATGTCAAGGCTGATGCCTTGTCTCGTCCTGCTGAATATGAAGTTCCCCCTGACTGCCTGGAAAAGGATAGAGTGCGGCTGTCACTCGAGGCCCTTTGGTTGCCTCGTCCAAACATTTCGGTTTTCCCCGAAGGGGCTCACCTTCCATGGTCTGTGCGGAGCAGGGGAGTGCCGAACAACCTCACTTAAGCTTGGGGTTTTCTCCGGGGCGAGGTTGCTGGGTAGTTTAATTTGGGGTAACTTGGTCCCACCCATCAACCTGTTGTGTGCATCGTTGCTGTTTCCTCGAGTGGACGTTGGTGAGGATTTCCGGCACTCCAGAGAAAACAAAGCGTGGAGCGAAGCTCGTAGCCTTTTGAAGCCTCCGGCTATACCGCTAGCAAGCACAACTAGTTTATAGAACGTATCATGTACTTGTTCATGTATGTTTTATAAACTACGTTCGTGCGTCATTTTGGCTTTAGAGTGGTGCTTGCTAGCGAGAAAGTCAAGTTTCCTCACCCACCCACCCCAATTTTTGGGGTTCTCTGTCTCACTGGCACTGGCCAGAAGAACAATCAAGACCTCGTTACAAGAAAGTGGGCTCTCGGGGCGGGCCGTAGCACAGTACCTGTATTGCAGGTAGTCTCACTTGTATGCATCTCTTTTGGAGAAAGCCCATCTGGGCTTCTGGGTTCACACTTGCACAGTCATGTTTCTTGTAAGGGCGGCTGAAAAAGCTGTCTGGTGTCAGTTTTCTCCGTACAGGCCATATCTTGCTTTGCAGTATGCTGCGGATGACCGGGGCGAAACCGTGTTAACCTTAGTGTTTTTCACTTACCTTTTCTCGTGTTGTCAAAGTGTTGCTTCGGTCTGTCATGGGTGGGGTAACTTGGTCCCACCCATCAACCTGTTGTGTGCATCGTTGCTGTTTCCTCGAGTGGACGTTGGTGAGGATTTCCGGCACTCCAGAGAAAACAAAGCGTGGAGCGAAGCTCGTAGCCTTTTGAAGCCTCCGGCTATACCGCTAGCAAGCACAACTAGTTTATAGAACCGTCAAGTGCCATTGCGGAGGGTCTCTATCTCCGCAACATCCTGAAAACCTTGTGCCCTGATGAAGTGCAGCCGGTGGCGAGGTTGGATTCATCTTCCGCCCGGGCCGTGATGGCCAAGGCGGGGGTATCTCGACTGAGACACCTGGACGTGAGGCTCCTATGGGTCCAGAGTTTAGTTCACCGACAAGAAGTTCAGCTCAAGCCAATCAGCACTCGAGACAACCCCACGGACATCGGTACGAAACCGCTTCATAGCGAAAGAATCCGATATTTGCTGACCTTGATGGGTTTTCGAAATCCGGATGGTGCTTTAAGTTCCAGTGCTGTAGCCAGGGTACACAGAGTTCGTTCGACGTCTACTGCGCAACACAGTCAACTCTTGAGACTTTCAGCTTTTCTCCTTGCCATAGCCTTGAGCCGTGCAGTGAGCCCAATGGAAGAATCATCGGAGTTTGAAGCGAGCGAGCTTATGGAGAAGATCGTGGAAATGTTCATGTGCATGCTGTGGCTGAGCTACCAAATCATGGAAGGGCTTGGAATGGTCGGCAAGCTGATGGTGACCTCTGTTTCGAAAGAAAGCTTGGTGGTTGGAGTGGCAGTGGTCATGCTGGTGTTGGGCATCGGCATTGGAGCGATAACTGCTTCAACGAGAACTTCGTCTTCACCGCGAGCTACGCCAACGAGAACTTCGTCTTCACCGAGAGCTACCTCACCGCGAGCTACTTCAGCGAGAACTTCGTCTTCACCGAGAGCTACCTCACCGAGAGCTACCTCACCGAGAACTTCGTCTTCATTGAGAGCTACCTCAGCTACGACAGCGTCTTCGGCAAACACTACTTCCGTGAATGAGGCGAATGTGCGAGAAGGGAGAGAGACAGCTTTGGAATCTCTTCGGCAACGTTCAGTGACAAGGTCAAAGCAAAGGCAAGCTGTGAGAGACCAAAGAAAGCAGTTCGTGCAGTTTGCAGAGAAGTCACTGGCGCTGGAGGGCGAAAGGGACAGAGCTGCATGGATCGCTTCTTCATGGGGGGAGTGTTATCATCGTAGCCGACAATGCGAGGCCTTGTTGAAGGTCAAGCAAACAAGCTTAGTGACTGTGGAGGAAGCCTGGAATCGAGAACTTGCGCCATGCAAGCTGTGTGAGTCAGAGCATTGGCGAATCTATGTGCTGGAGTAGAAGAATGTGAACATGAGCTGCTGGTGGTGGCTTCGCTGCTGCTGCTGCTGAGATGAATGATGCAGTGAGCTTGTGCCACGTCGAGTACTGAGTATGCATTTTGCAACCAGACAGAACCATGCAAGAGTAGATGTACATGTGCGTTGTGTTTGGTGTGTCGTTTTGGGTTAAACCCGAGAACCCGCTACACTAGGTAGAAATTTTCCTCGGGAAGTCAGGAAAGAAAACCTGGCGACTTTTGCAGTGTTTCAAGTGGAGAATTGGCAGTGCGAGCTCTAAAAGAGCCAGCAGAAAGAATGGTGGTATGCCTTTTGTATAGACTTCAAGGCATCCCAAGGAGGGGTGATAAACCCAAAATTTCCCATGTGCATAGAGTCTTTTGACCATGTTTGTATAGTTGAGAAACATGCTACGGACGAAGGCTTTTGGTTTAGAGAAAAGTCGCACCATCATTGGAGCTTGAAGAACCAACAAGTGGAACATTGCCACTTGACTTAGTTCTTTGTGAATCCCTTTCTCGCAAAAAGGTTTCCCACAGGTGTCGCGCGCTATTGGTTTCTTCCTCGCTTGAATCACCTGAGGAATCAGCGTAGGAGACCAGAGCTCCCATCTGATCATCATCATCCACCACATCTGCCCACGCTCTGCTGAATGGATACGACAAACCACCACGAGGCTTTACCGGTTCCAGTGGCTTCGGCTTTTCCACCACCTCCGCTGGCTGCACACGTCGATGTGAGCGAGAACGTGGCACCAGTCGCACCTGTTTCCGATCCAGCAAGGGCCTTCCCCTTCTAACAGGGTTTGATCTTGACCTACCCGCCTTTGTTGGCGGGTTCACCGGTGGCATTCCAACTCCCACCAATCGCAACTTCTGCACGCACAGCGGGGACCTCTGCGCAAGCGTCCAAGCGTCACGGTACTTGCCTGTGTCGAAAATCTCTCGATAAGACCCTCGTGGCATTTCCTTTGTACCAGGACCTTCAGCTTCACGCACCTGAGAGATAGTTCTCACCCCACCTCTTCCAGCTTCACGGCTTCCAGAAGATTGCTCCACGCGTACCGATGCGTTGGTAGAAACAGCCACATCCGGCGACATTGGCCGGTAATGGACACCACCCACCAATTGCAGAATTTTGCAGGCCGTCACCTTGCTAACCCCTTTTTCCACCAAATCCTCCACGAAGATGTACTCTTGTAGCTCCTTGACATTGGTCACACCAAGCTTGATCATCACGTCACTTACGTGAGGTGTATACACCCACAAGTGTTGGTTGCGAGCCATCCAATTTTCTATTGGCTCTTCTGGATTCTGAAGACGTACAGTGGTAGACTCTGCCACCGAATCCTTTTGTACATCTCCATCTGCTCCATCCAGCGTATCAACCTCACCTGCTTTCTTTGACACATTGGTCATTTGCAACGCTTGTGGTGCTGAGGAGGATGAAGATTCAGCTCCCCCACTTGCAGGTGGCTGAAAAGTACTCCTGTCCGAAATCTCCAATCCTCTCTCTCTTTCAAACCGGACCTGATTGGCCACATGTACCAAATGTTTCAGGTGCGCCAGCCGCTCATCTGTCATCTCGTCGTGGGAAAATCTGCAAGAATTGAACCGCTTACGGCACTGTCCTCTGAGGTAATAATCGAAACAGCAATGGTGGAACCCTGCGTCCCGTAGTGCCTTCCTGGAAGCATTGTCCCAAGCTTTGCCGGGTTCCCAAGTCCCTTCCAATGCTACTTCATCGTCGTGAAGATACCTACATGAGCTCCCATACTTGCAACCACCTTGATTGTAATGCAGACACAGCCGACTTTTTGGCTCACCCAACGTAGGTTCACCCTTTGATGCACCTTTACCAAAGTTGTACTTGGCTCTGAAGGCTGAATCTTCCCGCTCCTGCTGTGCCTCATCCACTGTGCCTTCCTTTGTAGGAGGGTCACCAGTGTTCCCATCCTCATCTCCAGCTTTTTGGCTGTTCTTTGGCTCAGTTGGTCCACCTCCTGGCCAACCTTCACCATAACGACGATGTTCATAGGAACACTCATCTCCATTGCGACACCTTCCCTGACTGAAGAACTTGCACAGCTTGCTGTATCCTGGTGACACAGTTCTTGGCGTCATGTGAGCCTTTTTATACTGATCTGAATCCATGTAGGCTTCCATTGGCTTGTTTTCCCTCTTACTCATAACTTCAATTGCACCATCAAGCTCCTGCAAAAACCGCTTGGTATCCAGCCAAAGCGCGTTCCAAAGTTCATCTTTACCTTGGCTTAGCAACATTGCCACCGTTTCACCCACGACTGGTCCACTAAATCTCCTTTTCTTCCGTGCCAGTGCGTTGTGGTACTGCTTCCGGGAAAAGGTGATTGTTTTTTCCAAACCTGCACATTCTGTACCATCGGGCTTCCAACCATCACTTTGCAAGATGCTGTATGCACGCCGAGCTTCAGTGTTCAGGAATGCATGATCTGCGACACACTCCATAACCTCGTCTATTGGACGACTCAGCAACATCCCAGTGATTTTGCCCACATAGGCCTTATCAGCTTTTTCATCTTCCAGAAGAGTTCTATAGATCTTTTCTCCATAGAGCTGTTTCTGCACAGCTTCCTCTTGTTCTTCAGAAGATAATCCTGGATCGGCAAACCACTCGCGGGACTGCCGTTCTTCCGACTTCCAGTCCCATTGACCGTCGGAACCTTGGTACCATTGACCAGCGTGCCATGAATCTGTCCACCACGTACCCCAGCCGCTGTCTTTCCATTTGCGCAGCGTCGAAGAGGAGTCCTCCTCATCCTCTTCCAAAACCAGGAAGGTGTCCAAGATCACGGTACCATCATCATCCACCCTTTCCACTGTTCCATTGACAGTGTCACCAATTTTGAAAAGAGGTGTATCTTTCCCTTCCGCAGGAATTAGTACATTCATATCGCCATGGTACAAAAAAGCTCCATGTACATTGATGCAGCGCACTAGACCATTGATCCGATCTCCCTTTTGGTAACAATGCTTCCCAGGTGTATCCAAGGCTCCCTCTTTGGGCACTTTCTTCGCTGGTTCTTCAGAAACCGGAATTGTTTCTTCGGCTCCCGGAACGTCCCTTGTTTCCACCTTGGGGGCAAGCTGCTTGTCCTGCTCCACGAGTCCCACAAGCTCATCCACCTTGTGCTCCTGGAGCTCAGGACCATCCTCTTTTCCAGCCAATGGCTTTGCCTCATCTGTTACAGTTCGCTCGGTGTCGACTTCCGGCAAGCTTTCAGATGGCAATACTTCCCCCTTCCTGGGAGTGGACCCACCATTGGAGTCTTTTTTCAAACCTTCTGCAGCAGGCAAATTTTCTTCCACTGCAGGGCTGTTGGATTGGTCATCCGCGGTAGGCACATTTTCTTCCACCGCAGCCAAAAGAGAATCACCACTATCGTTGACCACAGCTGCCACATTGGCTCCGGTGTAGCCTTCGCCATTCCGTTCCTCGCTGCTAACTTCAGGCTGCACCAGTGCGTCCACCTGTGAACCTCCGTCGTCAGCTGCTACGGAGACCTGCGCCCCATTGTTGCAGTCATCCGCGGAACGTGACACCATATGCGCCTCAACCCGTGCTTTTTCTGCACTCCAGGTACTATCTGGCACATTGACCCGCGCTTCATTGGCGCTCCAGGCCTCATCTTTCAGATCAACCGTGTCTCCAGCTATTTCAGAAGCTTCTTTTTTCCCTTGAATGGCAGAATTCTTGGCACCAAACGAAGAGACCTCCTCAGTCGTAACGCACGACTTTTTCCCTCCGTCATCCAAATCTCCAGGACCACCTTCCTTAACGACAGGTACCACATCCACCACTCGCTCTTCCGCAGCCGACACAGTTCCAATCTCCGCATTGGGCATTTTGTCCTCTGGACCCACCGATTCCACCGCTGCCACACCCTCAGAAAGCGCTTCCGTTTCTTCCCGATCCAGATGTTCTCCAGCGATGTCTGCTTGGATTCCAGAAATTCCTTCCTCTTCAGGAGAACCCGAGGTCTGGGCGTCACCACCACCCCTAAAACCGCTATCCCCGATAGTAGAGGAAAAATCCTTTTCACCTACACTATTTACACCGCTGTTTACACTTTCCAAGCTACCCTGTTGTGCCCTGAAAGACTCAGTAGGCGACGAGGACGAGGTAGTACCCAGTGCTGGCTCATCTTCCACAGGGACAATGCCCATTCCAACACCAGACACCTCACTGTTTCCAGCCATTCCAGTCTTCTTAGGCAACACCCATTGGGTATCTCCAGTGTCCAAGCAGTAAAGATACTCTCTTCCATCCTCATGAAAATGGCGCTCCCACGTCTTCCCATCACAGTCGATGATTGGAAGGTCAGCAGCTTGAGACAATTTGCCTCCACCAGCAGCGTATAAGTCTTCCTCTGACTCCTGCCGTATTCTCGCTGCTTCCAACTCCAGGATTTCTCCTTCACTCATCACCATAGCAACAGGAACAACTCCTTCTGCGTCCCCAGTGAAGAGGATACTGCTTTTTGTCGCAGCAACAGGCGCAGTTTCCTCCGCTTCACCTGTCAACAGATCACCACTTTCAGTCGCGAAGCTCACTTTATTGCGAGCTCGCTTGGGAACAGGGATAACATCCCCAACCAGCTCGGTCTGGCACTCTTGCTCCACCATCTTTGACGTAGAGGAGCTTATTTTTGACGCTCCCGTTGATTCAGCAGGTTCCGCAGCTCGAAGACAAAGCCCATGTTTGCTCAGAAGGCGTAGCAAAACTACTTCCATCTGGTCTTCCAGTCCTTCCACCACCGGCTTCTCTTCGCCACGCATACCACCAGCATCAACCAGAGCTTCCGCATTGGGAACCACTTTTTGACCCGTTGCAGACCTTTTGACACCACCTTCACCTTGATCGCCCACATTGGAGCTCGACGATGCCGCACCAGTCTGTAACCAATTGGTAGCCATTGCTTCAAGCTACCACCCTAAAGCCGAAACACAAAACGCAGGGAACCTAATTTGGGCTCATAACCTACGGGGGGCAACCAAAGGGGGACAGGAAACGAAACAGTCAACCCCAGAAGAAGCCCTTGTTTCCCCTGGACCAACCAACAACAAACCAACCCAAAACACCAAGCACCCTTTCTTCACTAGGCGCATGGCCCGATCTTGAGCCAAAAATGATACCGGGTACATTGACCCTTGAGCCTTTTACACCAACTCTTTTCCTTAATACAAACTGCAGCTCCGCATAGGGTTTAGGGTTTAGGGTACTTCATTGTAAGACTCGATATTCTGAGGTACATGGTCGCCCTGAGCTGCTTTTGGCAGGTGAAGGAAAAGTCTCCTGCGGAGGAGGGGGTTTAGGGTTTAGGGTTCAGGGTTTAGGGTTTAGGGTTTAGGGTTCGGGGCTTAGGGTAACTGTCTCGCACAGGGTCTCAGGGCCATCTCAACTCCATCGAGGAGATCTGAGGAAGAGCGAGTCTTATAATGAGGTACAGGCCTAAACCCTAAACCCTAAACCCTAAACCCTAAACCCTCAACCCTCAACCCTCAACCCTCAACCCTCAACCCTCAACCCTAAACCATCTTTGTGCCTTTGTGCGTTGACAATCAGTCAGAGCTGAGCTGCATGGAGCTGCGAGGGAATTCCTTGGAGGCTATGTGGCACGGTGCACGAAGACTTATGGAAAGTTTCCATGGGCCTGCCAGCATCTACTTGGTACTTATTCACCAATTCTAACTGTACTTAAGGCCCTTTAAAGGTTGGTTATAAGCACAGTTATAAGTGGTAAATAAGTACCATGAACCTCCAAGTAGGGGCCTTAATAGGAATTGGGTTCTGGGGGGATATTATAATACAATTAGGAACCATGAAGGGAATATTATGAGTAGTTATTCCGGCCCCTAACTGGTGGACCCTGGACCCAAGAGGAGCTCCAGCTTTGTGCAAGCGTGCGCCAGGAAAATGGGCCGCATGATGCAAGGTGAGACGTAGCCGCCGGTTCGAAGGGTTTAGGGTTTTGGGTTTAGGGTTTAGGGTTTAGGGGTTTAGGGTTTAGGGTTTAGGGCTATTTATAGTTGAGGCACAAAACCTGGATTTCGACAGCTCAAGTTTTCGGCTGCCTGATTTTCCCACATTGAGTTTTCAGTCGATCGGCCATGCAGCACCAAGTTGTGGTGAACCCTGGCAGTTCTGAGAGGGTCGTGGTCAACAACAAGGAGGCGAGCCGGAAAGCCCACAAGAATGGCCCCCGAAAATAAAGCCACAGTGAAACTTTAGTTCTATGGGTTTAGGGTTTAGGGTTCAGGGTTTAGGGTTTAGGGTTTAGGGCTGAGGGTTTAGGGTTTATGTTTCTGTCCGGACTTACAACGCAAGATTTGTCGCGTGCTGTGGGTTGTTTGTTGCCTCTAGCATGTCTGAAAGCCCATTGCCATCCATTGACTAACAAAACAACTGAAGAGGCCACTTTTAGGCCAGCTTCCACAATTGCCAGGTGGACCTCCAAAACCTGAAAGAGCTCAACGATCTTCCAGACAGGCGCCGAGCAGGTCGGGCAGAAGAGATCAGGCGTGGAGCGGCCTTCTTGCAGCAAGTACCAAGGTTTCTTGGCGGCAGCTGCTGGCAGCTGCTGGCAGCTCTGAACTTTTAACCTATAACCGTAGCCTTGGACCAGTGACAAGATTGACCCGCTTTACCGGGGACGAGTTTTCCACACCAAGGTTCCCTGCGCAGAGAGCTTGTGTGGACTTTCCGTGGGCCGTTGTGTTCCTGCTGACTCTGGTTGCGCTGATCCTCCTCGTGGCAGCATCTGCTGGAAGGCTTCTCCAGGGTGAAATGCCATCCAGGCATCTGTCAAGTTCCTATGGCTTTGCCCCAAGTTATGGAGGGCAAGCCATGCCTGTGGACAATGGTCCAGGCTATGTGGGGCAAGCCATGCCCGTGAACAATGGTCCCAGCTATGCGGGGCAAGTCATGCCTGTGGACAATGGTCCAGGCTACGTGGGGCGAGCCGGGCCCGTGGACAATGGTCCAAGCTATGCGGGCCAAGCCATGCCTGTTGACAATGGTCCAGGCTATGTGGGGCGAGCCATGCCCGTGGGCAATGGTCCAAGCTATGCAGGGCAAGCCATGCTTGTGAACAATGACATCCGCATGTCCAAGTCTGAAGCTGGTACGCTGTTGGTGACTGCGTCTCTGGCATGTGTGGCTGGTGCTGCTGGGGGCTTGATTTTGGCTTCCATGTGGATCATGTTTGCCCAGGTCTGTGCCAGCACCATCGTCTACTTCTCACTCTATGCCATTCCGAGTCTATTTCTAGTGGCTGGCGTCCTGGTAGTGCTGGCTGGGAGTGTTCGCAGTGGCATCATGCTGTGCTTGGTTGGTGGCCTATCACTGGCCTTTACGCTGATGTGCTGGACTCGTTATATCCCTTTCACCATTGAAGTTCTCCAAATGGTTTCCACAGCCTTCAGTCAGAACTCAGAAATGGTCGCCATATCTGCAGTTGGAGGTTTACTTGGGCCCGCTTGGTTCATATTGGTGGTACTGGGCTATGCAGCTTGCCTCCTCAATTCTTCAGGTGGATCTGTCGGAGATGGTTCGGCCGAACGTGCTGGTGGTTTGGGGTACCTCTTCATCTTTGTGCTCACATGGGGCAGTGGCGTGATCCAGAATGTGTGCCACGTGGCCTACTCCGGTGTCTTCAGCCGATGGTACTTTGAGCAACGCGAGTCACCTCTTGCGAGCAGCCTCTATGTGGCCACCGTCACATCTTTTGGCAGCATTTGCTTTGGCACCCTCATCCTTGCTGCCGCGAAGACTGCAGAAGCTGGTGCCCGGGGTGTGAGACGTGAGGCCGAGGAGGATGGCAACATGGTTGCTTGTGTGATAGCCCTCGTCGTGGAGTGCGCCATTGCATGCATTGGAGATCTCGTGGACTATTTGTCTCAGTGGGTCTTTGTGATGTGTGCCCTACGTGGAGGCTCCTTTTGTGACTCTGCCCGCGGTACTTGTGCCCTGTTTTCTTGCGCAGGGATGAAGGCCGTCATTGGAGACCTTTTGATTGACCGCGTGGAGACCTTGGGATGTCTGTTGGCCGCCCTGGGCGGCATGGGCCTCGCTGCTTTAGCCGCGCTCGCGGGCGCGTCTCCAGCTGGCAGCATGTCACGTGCAGATGTGATCGGCCTATGTGCTATGCTGGGGCTTTTAAGTGCCCTTGTCTCTGGTGCAGGAGTTATGGCAGTCCTGAGCAGTGGGACCAAGGCCATCTTGATGTGTTGGGCAGAGGATCCAGATCGCCTGCATGAACGTGGCTTCGAGGATTTGCATGTAGAGCTCAAGTCCAAAGCCCGTGAATTCAACGGGTTTGTTGAAAACAAACCCCAGACGCCGCAGATGTCGCAGACGCCGCAGACGCGTCGTTTCTTCCTTTGGTAACGTGACACATGAGCTCGGCCACATTAATGTTGCACTGCTTTGAGTTTTTAGGCCCCCCCCCCCCCAACAAATTTCGACCCTCCCCCAAACAAATTGGGCCGGGGGGAACCGACCTCAGGGCCTCAAGCCTTTAGGACCTTAAGGCCCGAAGCTTTCCAGCCAGACTCCTGGAGCCCAAGGCCCTCAGGGCCTCAAGCCTTACTGCGCAAGCCATTAACCCTAAACACAAGCCCTTAAAAAAACCAATCATCCGGAAAAAGCTGTGTATTATAGAGGGTGATCAGACAAAGTCCGGCCGGCCCGTGGGCTGCCTATCGCGAAATTTGTTCGGGGCCTCGTTTCGTAATGAAATTCCAAAAGGCTTTACATGGAACTGGCCGGGCTTAGCTTTTGGGATTCTCCGGGCTCTGGGTCGTTAAGGCCCTCAGGGCCTCAAGCCTTACCGCGTAAGCCCTGAACCCTCAACACAAACCCTTAAAGAACAAAAACAACCGTCCGGCAAAAAGCTTGTGATCATAGCGGGTTACACCAACAAACTTAGGTTGCAGAAGTAATTTCGAAACTTGTGATTATCGACCCTGCTTCTCTTAAAAGCAGTGCAACATTGTCCCATGCATCCGCGTTGGCGGTTTGTGTTGGCTTCCGTGTTTTTCCATCTGGCCGACTCTGCCATGTTTTCCATCTGGCAAACTCTGCAGCGTTTTAACAGTGACCTCGGAAAACGTGACCCCCTGCCCACTACCGACGTCTGGGACCGGACAGAAGTGCAGAGAAGCCCAGCGTTGTCCAGAGCGTAGAGGGGAATGATCTCCGCTGACCTTGGCTTAGTTTTACTAGAGACAGCAGGGCTCGGGGCTCGCATGAGGGCTTGGCCGCATGAGCGAGGCACCGATCCGCGATGTCAGGATGCCTTGCTTCGTTGCTCATGATTGCTCACCGTACCCCTCCTTTTTTGATGATTTTGTCAGGATGCCATGGATACGGCTCAGGCGCGAGGGCAGGCCGGGAGGGGACGAGTTTCTGAAGAGCTCCCTGCCCAGTTTTGGAATGAAGAGTCAAAGATGGTTTTTGCGGATGGGGTTGTGTGCGCAGCCTTTTGTAAGCTTTCGGGAGCTAAGGTTTTTGTGTGGGCACTGTGAACCAAAATGCCCCCAAATGTGGGACCGAATACTGCTGTCGCCAACGTGGCACTGCAGCAATCTGGGACGAACCTTCTTGGAGCCCCTCGAGGGGCTGTGTAGGAGGGGAGCTTAGGACTTAGGGTTCGTTGAGGAGAGCCTGGGGTTTTAGGTCTAAGCACCGTGCTCAGTGAAGAGCTTGCTGCGCGCATGCATCGTGTGCGCCGCCCACAGGTGCGCCAGTGGTCAGTCCTCCCCAGGTCATGTGCTTGACAGCGCCGGCGCCTCAGCCTGAGTGCACGCCAGATGTCAGCCCTAGATGTCCTGGACGCTTGGGAACTTTGATTGGGGGGAGATGTCTGAACCCCCGTCCAGCTGTTGGCAGACACCAAGGGTTGGAGCGTTTTGCACTACTAGTTTGGGCCATGTCAGTCAAAGTCACTGTGGCGGATCTCGTTGGACGCTCGTTGGAACTTGAGCTTCCTGCTACGGAAACGGCGAAAGCCATCAAGGATGCCACGGCGAAATCCTGGGGGCTGGATCCTGCGACTTTTCGCCTGCTGGCACAAGCTGAGAGCATGGATGAGGAGAAGACGCTTGAAAGTTTCCTGAAGGAGGGTCAGATGGAGATTGAAGTGCAGCTTCTCAAGTTTGATCCCCTTTTGGACCTTGGGAAGCTTGCCATCGCCGAGCATCGCGGTATCGAAATCCGTGGGCCCCACGTGCTGAAGACCGAGCAATTCCCGGACTCCAACAACGTCTTCCTGAGCCATGGCATTCAGGAGCCACCGCAAACCCCAAGCCCTAAGCCCTAGACCCTAAACCCTAAACCCTAAACCCCAAAACCCTAAACCCTAAACCCTCATCTCTAAACCCTAAACAGGAGCCGTGCTTCGTCGAGTTTGAGGTGGTCCGTTGCAGGGATGAGATGTCCTTCGGCGTGACTTACGACCGGAGCCTGGAGAAGAAGTCAGGCCCCGCGAACCTGGGCGTCCAGACCACGTGGATCTTCTCAAAAAAGCAGGAGATGCCGGTCTTCTTCTTCGGCGGCAAGCGCTTGAATCCTCCGGACGTCGCCGGTGTACGAGAGGGTGACGCCATCGGGGTCTACGCAGATCCCGAGGCTCGCTTGGTCGAGTTCTACTGCAACGCGAAGATGGTCGGATCCTCTGAGTCCCTCGAGGTCCCCTTGCCCCCCTCTGAGGGCAGGCCTCTCTGTGTTGTGGAGTACTATACTTTAATACTTTTTCGGGTTTTGGGTTCCTATTTTGGCTACTGAAACCGACAAAGTATCCCGGTATACCCTAAACCCTAAACCCTAAACTCTAAACCCTAAACCCTAAACCCTAAACCATTTTTCTTTCCAGGGTCTACTCCAATGCAGGCCTCTGTGGATGTATGCCATGGTGGACGCAGAGCGCGATGAGATCAAGATCAAGCGGTTTGGCCCTGGCCGGCCCTATCCCTGAAACGGCCCTCTCCCCACATTGTGACATGAGTGTGAATAGCTTCACGGCTTTTGTACAGGAGAGCTGGTGTCTGACAAAAAAAGACTTCTTGGCTGAGAGTTTGGTGTGCCACAGCTTTGCGGGGCTTCGAAGTTCTTCTTGCGCGGAAGTCGAGCGCTGCTTGCTTCAAAACTGCAAGATGTAGCCGAGGTGGCTGGTGTGCGCAGTCTTCAAGGTGCAACGGGCGCTGTCGCAAAACAACAATGATAAAGGGTGATATAGACCAAATGGACATTACAAAGGCGCAAGAAATAACAAAGCAGTGCTTACTGACAGAGCCTGTTGGTCCATCGGGAATTACTTAAGGCGTTTGCCGTGCATCTCTGGGCTTGATGCGGACAGTCTGCAAACCCTTGGAATTGTGGAAACACAGAAGAAATCCAAGGGGAGTACTGCAGTTTGAAGTCTGCCAAAACGAATGGCATTCTCATGGATGGGTTTAGGGTCTTGTCTTGGGTTCGCCAATATTTGATTTGCATGATCCTTGACTCTTTCGCGCTTATTTGATTCGGTCACGTTTGCCTTCGCGGGCGCTGGCTCGAAAGTCACCATGCAAGTCCTGGGCTTGAGCCGGCCCACCCTCTGTCCTCTCGCGCTGGGATGTCGGGCACGCACACGACCACGCCGACCGCGACCGACGAGGACAACTTGAAGGTGGACGAGATCACCATCCCATTCACGGACGTGTCGTTCTGGAACGAGTACCTGGTGGGGGCGCTCAGGATCATAGTCAACCTCTTCGTCGCCCTAGTCCTCGGCGTCCTTTTCTGGCTCGTGATTTGGGCCGTAACGAAACTCATAGACAAGGTCGTCCACCTCAAGGCGGCCAGGAGCAAGACCCCGCTCGACCCCCAGCAAGAGCAGCTGCTGGCCTTCGTCATCGGTGGCGTGAAGCTCCTCCTCTGGGTCCAGGTCATTCCCATCCTAGTCGGCACGGTGGGCATAGCCGCTGATTCCATCATCACCATCCTTGGTGCCCTGACGCTCGGCCTCGGCCTGTCCCTGAAGCCGCTGGCGGAGAACTTTGTGATGGGTGTGACCCTCACCGTGGTCAAGCCCTTCTCAGTCGGCGATCTCGTGCAGATCGCGGGCAAGGTCAAGGGCAAGGTCGTGAAAATGCTGTTTGCCTACACGATCGTTTCTGAACCGGACGGGACCACAGTCTTCGTCCCGAACTCAAAGATCGCCTTTGGCCCCATCGCCAACCTTACCGACAACCCCAAGGCCCGCCTGGACGTCGGCAGCTTCCACCTCTCCCACAATGCGAACCTGGGCATGTCCCGCCAGGTCATGATCAGCGCAGTGCTGAACGTGCCGGGGGTCCTACCGGACCCAGCCCCACAGCTCATTGTCGAGGAGGTGACACAGACAGCGGTCGTCGTCGCCTGCCGCGTCTGGGTCGACTCCCAAAAGCAGCTGGCCATCTCCTTCCCGATTCGTGAGGCGATTCTGCAGCAGTTCAAGGACAGCGCGATCCCGCTCGCCACGTGGTCGGCCGACGTCGCGGGCACAGTCAGGAAGCTCGCTCAGCAAGGCTACCCCGGGTTGGCAGGACCCCGCGCTGCCCCGGTCTGGCCGGGCGGGCCAGGACCTGGCGACCGTGCTGGAGATGAAGAGGGGGATGAGTTGGCCGCCGCTAGCCTGATGTAGGAGTAGGTCTCGCTGTCTCACCTCTTGACGAGAGGCATTCCAGGGAGCGCTGACATTGATATTCTTTCAAATACACCATAAACTATTGGCTGAATCTTGCGGCGACTTGGGATCCAGCTGTTTAGTGAGCGTGACACAACTCCTCAATGGTGTGTGTGAAAAGCAAGCTTCACATTTGATGTCCCAAAAGCGGAGATCAATGACCAAATCAAGAAGTACGTTTTGCGGTTTCTCTCCAGCGCGCATGTTCCATAAAACAGTTGGTTCTGAAGCAGTGAGTCTTGGGACACGTGTCATATCATGTTGTTGTATGTTGTTGTTGTTTCAATGTGTGAAGTCAAAGAGTCAAGCATGTGTTGAAGAATGACCTTGAAGGACTTTCAAAAGAGTTCAGGGTTTCACACTTCCAACACCGACTCTTCGAGTTTTCCTAAGGCAAGGGTTCGGGCGTGCCACCCAACATTTCTTTCCTAAGGGCTTCGGTTGGGGTTGCCCTCCCAACATGTCCTTTTGGGCTTGTGGGCTTCCTTGCCAACATGTACGTTCCTTGCAGGGCATCGCCCTTCATGATTCTGGGTTTTGGAGGGCGGTTCTCTGTGAGAACATGGCTTTTTCATTCGGGGGGGAGGGGGGGGGGGGCTGTGATTTGGGCGTTTGTTTTGAAGGGTGCGGGGTTTCAAATGTGGCGAAACTAAAAAGATATGTGCACATATCTAAATGCTACCATATGTGTATATATATATATATATAGCATGATATAGCATATATGTATATACATATATATGTATAAAAATAAGTATATATCTATAAATATGTGTATATATATATATACATACATACATACATACATACATACATACATACCAGGTATGTGTATGCGCCGCGTGGTGCGACGAGACGCTCATGTAGATGCTGCGACCCAGACCCCGAAAGTGCGTAACCCTGAAATTATGCTTGAGCCTCGAACCCCCTACTCCTCCCTCAAAAACCATGTTGTTGTCTTGGAAACCACTAACCCTAAGCCTGACTGTGGAGTTGCTGACCGAACCAATCTCTGATTACGTCTTGACACTGCACGTTGCTTCCCCATGAACCACTATACTATAAAATGCTATCTGTAGCGAGTATAGTGTACTATAGCATACTATAGTATACTATGGTACGCCACACTATACTATGGCATAGTGTAGTACTATAGCATAGTATATATACATATATATATATATATGCCATAAGTATATATATATATATATATATATGTGCCATAAGTACACCGCAGTACACTGTTGTAGTATACTAGGGTAGCGGCCTAAGCTGACAAGGTTGTAGGGTTTAGGGTTTAGGGATGTTTAGGGTGTATATGGTATGAAACCTCTGGGCGTTCGTTTTGGAGGAGCATGTTAAGACTGCGGTCAGATTAAGTTCTTAAAGGTCCAAGCTTTACTCAACACATCTCCACTGTGACCCTCAGTCACCCTGCAGCCAGCCTTAGGGTTTCGGGCAGTACCCCATCGTTCTAAGTTAAAAAGGCTGCCTTTTGCCATCAAATCTGCAAGTATGTACCTTTACACTTGGAGCCCTGGATTTAGAGGTTGCGTCGGGTTTGGACGCACGTTATGATGGTGAAAATTCCAGAGGTGGTTCCGCAGCTCAAGATTTATAGGGTCTGTTGGCGTCTGGGGGTGGCTCTGCATAGAAACTTATTGCCGAGGCAAGGCGTGAATACCAAGGGCCAGCAAAGGGTTTAGAGTTTAGGGTTTAGGGTGTAGGGTTTAGGGGGTAGAGAAATTGTATAGGGTTTGGGTTCCAATAGCGTTTTGACCGAGTTTACATTTTGGATCCTAGGTTCACACTTTTGGGGGGAGGGGCGGGGGGTTGATGACTTTGAGCTCTAAAACGTGCGCTTTGCCTGGTGTCACCACGCTTTGCCTTGTGTCCGCTTGAGCTGGGAAGGCTATGCGCGGTCACATGCAGGAGGCCGTTCAGTGAGGACAAGCAGAGGCAGGCTTTTTCCACTGAGACTGAGGGCAGCCTTTGTTGAGGGTTTTTAGGTTGTTGGGTCGCCTTGCTGCATGTTTCGGAATTGCGGAAACTTGCAACAGTCGCTGGCTTTCATGCTGTCTTGCTGCCTTGAAGTTCTTTGCTTACAGCCGATGATGGCATCGTAGCACCCAAAGCAGCACATGCATATGTCTAGTGCCCGATCTTGCGAGGTACAAGATTGGTTGTCGCTGCAGTTAAGTTTGCTCGTCTTGAAGCGCCGCGCAAGCCGCAATTCGCCATGGATTCGGGTGCAAGGCAGAGGTCAAGATCTCCCAGGCGTTCGTCCAACCAGATCCCGAGAGCAACCTATGTCATGTACTACCGGTGTCAAAGCAATGGATGCAAGGAGAACGAGATTGTTTGGCGTTCTGTGGACAAAGAAAGCAAACGTATGGTGTGCAAACAGTGCAACAAAGTAGTCCGACCGAGCTGTATCCAGAAGAACGGTCCACCAGTCTCCTGCACTCTCAAGAGACAAGGGAGCTGGCCACGCCAGCCGTACCTGCAGCTTTCTTTCGAGCCTGCTTATCTAGCTTTCGGTTCGGCAAGACCTTGTGACGAACAGCGCAGCATGCCATTGGGCTTCGTCAGTGACTTCACAAGGCAAGGCACGGCAACTGAGGAGGTGCGAGATCTGTTGCTGGACTCGGGTTTTTCTGGTGATTGGGGAGTGGAAGCAATATGTGAAGAGGCAGCTTGTGGGAAGAAGCTTTCGTGGGCTGTGGTCAACATATGGGATCAGTTTGGTGCGGCGGAAGGCATACTGGACCGCATGCGAAAGGAAGTGCCATGGTTCAGCTTGGTATCCGCAGTTGGCCAGCACTTGTATGACAGATGTGAGAAATGTCGGTTCTATGGATACAGTTGCAGATTGCAAGTCCAATCGTCGGATTCTCTTCCACCTGCTTACCTCAAGGTCAAAAAGTCTGGGTTCACAGATGACACCAGCACCAAGAAAAATCTGCGACACTTGTTCGGAGAGATAGTCTTGAAAGACGTTGCGGCTGTGAAGAGCATCATCTGTGGATTTGAACAGGATGTGGAGGAGTACTTAGACTTCTCCGCTCCTGACAGTGAGAGGCAAAAACAAGCAGAAATCGTGGAACTGAGATACCTTGCCCGACAGCTGGCCAAGCTTAAAAAGTCGCAAGGTTTCTGGCAACGTGTGGTGGACCATCAAAATCGAACAAAACTTGAGGCCCTATTAAATAAGAAGGCCAGTTTGCTCGCATCCGATACCGAGGATGGCCCAGCGATCTATACGGAACTTTTGCCTGCAAACCTTAGGGCAATCGACGATGATATTTCAAGAGCGACGCAAAGCTGGGATGCCATGGAACGGAAGTACAGGGAGGAACTGAAGGACAAGTACGGCACAGCTTGCCAGACCCTGCAAGATCTGAACGGCCAGATAGCAGAGCTTCAGCGACGAGCAAGTAACTGGGGGCCTCTGCCCGAGGTAGATAGTACGGAGAAGGGCGAGCTTGTAGCCTTACTGGAGTTCTTCGATGATAATCATGCCAGAAAGGCCGTGGACGACTTTACGCGAGTCCGAGAGTTACGCGATTTGAATGCTATCTTTGGGCCACAGGGAGCAGAGAGGGTCCAGGTTGCTTTCTTGACCAAAGAATGGAAGAACTCCAGGAGCATGTTGTGGATGCAGGAGTTTATTTTGCAAAAGACGGCAGGCACCGGCCCTTTCAGACGGAACATCCAAGCGCTTGCTGCCCAGTGGAAGTCCTGGGGACAGATTTCCCAGCTCGACCCAGAGAAACAAACCTGGAGACTTGTTTTCATATCCTTTCCACATTGGCTCAAGAAGGTCACAGATTGCCTCAGGAGCCTGGCAACAGTCTTATCCACGTTCACAATTTTAGAGGAGCATCCGCTAAAGCAGGTGCGCTCCCACGAGGATGTCATCGCCAACGGTTGGCTGGAAGGCTTTAAGATCCCCAAATCCACGCAGCCACCAGCCGCAGATCCGGGCATTGACAGAGACGAGAACGAGACGACGTCCAGCACTCTGACAAGAAGCCAGGGAGTGGCCCTTGATGCAATGATCGGGGACGAGGCTGACCTCGAGCACTGGCAGAGGCATTTGCGTCAGTTTGAGCTGTGTGGGTTGAACGACATGCCATCCGCGAGCGAATTCCTGCACACGTTCTACAATCCGACGGTTCGGCATAGTGCTTCAACATGACGTCATCATGACAATTGCATACTTAAACCTCTCAAGCGAGTGACAGGCCAGCTGAGAGGAGAAACAGGCATCCGCTGTTGCCGACACTTAGGCGATGGGCTTTGGCGCACCGGTTGCTCCTTTGGTCAGTCCCTCAAACCCTAAACTCTATACCCTAAGCCCTAAACCCTAACCCCAAACCCCAAACCCTATAAACCCTATAAACCTTCCATTTTTCGGACCCATTCGGCCATGTCGCGGCCTCTGTGAGGCACCTCCCGCCTCTGCCGAAGCAGCCGCAGTGCCGGTGGCTCCAGTCGCACCTCCAGCGGCCAGCAGCTCAACACACTCACCCGGGAGATGTGCTGGAGAAGAACGTACACTTGGAGGCTCATGGTGGTTATCAACCAATTATAGCTGTACTTAGAGCCCACATAACCGCCCCTGACGGGCCCCAATATGGTTATAACTGCCCCTCTGCGACTTGTCGTATCTTCACTTGTCGGATTTGCACGTCACGAGCTTCCAACTGATGTGGTGAGTGTTTGTGGCTCGGGCAGCTAGGGCTAGTGTCCTCTTCCTAGCATCTCACAACGTTGGCCGTGTCGAGCTGCGTACTGCCCTACTTGGAGGTTCATGGTACTTATGAACCCATTAGAACTGTACTTCTAACCCACTGGTAAGCCCCTCAAGTGCCCTAATATGGTTATAAGTACAGTTCCAAGAACAATTATAATGGGTTTATAAGGGCCATGAACCTCCAAGTACTGCCCTAGACAGCAGCTGCAGGTCTCCCAGTAACGCATCGGCTCCAGGTGCTTTTGTGATTGCGGCTCAGGCCACGCCGTGTTTGCGGACAGGTTTGCTTGTGCAACCTTTGTAGGCTTTTGGGAGCTGCAAGCTCGGGCGCGGGCGGGATATCCGTTCTCGATGAATCTTGCCTAGGCCTGGCTTCGGGCGGTTTGGGTGTCCTTTCTCCAGTTTCGGGATGATGCGCAGGGGCTTTTGAAGGAGGTGGGGGGGCCGAAAGAGCCCCATCTGGACTTAGACGCGGTGCTGCGAGGCTTGGCTTTGCGGCTCAGGTGGCACGGCCCCTGTGAGGGAGGAACTTCGTGACCTGCCCCGGGGATGACCTGATCCGCAAGGGACGGCGCGTGTTTCAGCTGCCGAGGGAGAGGCATTGCCGCCTACGCGGCTTTTGGGCTTGGCACGGGACGGACTCCCGCCGGCACGAAAGGAGGTGCAGTAGCGGGCCCCGTCAGCCTTAGCCCCCCAAAGATCCAACCGAATCCTGCTGTCGCCAACGTGGGTTTTTCCCCAAAAGTAGGGGCACCTCTTTGATACCCCCAAGTAGAATACAGTCCCCACGAAGGGAACCCCCCAAGAAGGGTACCCCGATTTTTAGGAAACCCCGAAGTGGGCACTGTGGCAACCTGGGAGGCCGAGCGTTCTGGACGCTTTCATGGGGTTGTGGTTATGTAGGAGAGCTTATTGGGTGTAGAGTGTGAGGTTTGTTGAGGAGAGCGCTCAGTGAAGAGTTGTTGCTCGCATGCATCGTGTGCGCTGCCCAGGTGCTCTCAGCCAGTGGTCGATCCTCCCAGGACATGTGCTTGACGGGAGAGACCTCCGGGTTAGCGTTTTGGAGGAGTGTTAAGGCATGCGGTCAGACTAAGTTCTTAAACCTGCAGCCCTGAAGCCCAAGCTGTACTCACTACATCTACACCATGAGACGCCAGTCACCCGGCAGCCAGCCCTTGTTTTTGCATGCTCCGAAGCTGCGCCTGGATTTGCCGTCTTCTGCAGTGTATTTAGCGGCAAGGTGCTGGGCCGCTTTGATATTATGCAAGAGGGCGACCCGAAACCCTAAACCTTAAAAATACGGGGTGTTTCACGATAAGCCATGGAACCCAAGCTGAGCTCCAGTGGCTCTTTCATGGCAGCAAGATCCCGGGGTCTTCGTTTGGGGCTTCTGTGGTTTCTGGGGATTCTGGGGCGCTGAGGGAGTTTTTAAGGGTTTCAGCGACCAGTACAGACCGCCAGAAAGTTAAGAGTTTTGAGTAACGAGCTTGCTTCAGCCTGAGGTCTCTTAGCTTGTCCATTTCTCAAGCTTCAAAGCATACTCCCATGGCCCATGCCGCCCCAGGTGTGAACTTCTGCCCTCAAAATCTACCGGTTTAACATCCTTTGGTGGCTTCAGCGGCAGCGTTCGGGACTGGCATTCCTCGCAATTACCGTGAGGGTCCCTATCCGGAACAGGTCCCATCAGTGGGCTTGCAGGAGACCGTGAACGCGGTTCGGAGTTTGGGGGGCTTCCGCAAGATGGATCAGCGAACGTTCAGCACACAGTCCGCCTCCCCGCAAGGAGGATCCCCTCAAGAAGGGTCCACAATGTAGCCTGTCGCGGTATCGCCCTTCCAGTGCTCTAGAGCTTGGGGCTCAGAGCCATGGCCGCGCTCCAATTTGGGGTTTAGGGCCTGGTGTTTAGGACTCGTGATTTTTTTGTTAAAGGCCGAAATTCCTAAACTTCTAAAGTTCAAAAGTTCAAAACACTCAGAACTTAAAAAATCTTGAAACTTCTGAAACTCTTGTGCTACAAGCCGAAAACAAAACAATGGGCCCAAAACTCATACACACTCTAAGCGTGCTCCGTCGCAGCTGTTCCCCAGCACGTCCCGCAAAGATTTCCCTGCAGAGGCTGGCAAGAAGCCTACATGGTGCGGTTGCCGTTCAGGGCCTTGCAAGCCCTAAACCAATATTCAGTTAGTTTCGCAACAAACGGGGTTTGCAAATGCTAACGCCTAAAACCAACAAGTATCCTTTCGTTGACCGTCTGGGGGAAACCCTAGACGCAAGTTACAATTCTTCGTCTCAAGCTGTCAACTCTGTTCCCTTGGGTACTTGGACCCTCGGTGTTGGCAGTACCGGGTGCTGAGCAGGGAATGCGTGGATAGATCCGATACACTCGTCCTATACACTTGTCCCACCATTCCTTCACTCCCATTCCTTCACTCCCATAACGTGGTACTCTTGTAAGGGGAATGCCATCGCCCAACACATAAAAGAAGAATGTGCCCTCCTTTTGGGAATATTACAAGCGTCAAAACACACGACTCAGATGACATGTGCACCAAGTGGTGGCTTCCATCAAAGCTCTCACGGCTGAGGGGCCTGGGCTTGGGACTGTTGAGCTCCCCAAAATAGAAAACCTGGGGACATGTACAGGTGAGAAAGAGATCCTTGGAGTTCGTCCCGGAGTCGGTTCTTTCATGATGTCGGGCTCCCAAGCCTGTTGTGCTTCTTAGGATATGGAGCACCTAAGGTGGTTCAGTCTTTACTTCTCCTCCACCATTCGGTCTCCAAGGTTCAGGCTAACTCAACTCTGCAAGCTTTTCTGGGATTGCATTGGGGTTTATGCCAGGGTTGCAAGTAGCAGGCTTGTGTTTTTGAAGGCTGTCGATGTGGCATGATCTTTCAAAAGACCTTACTCTTGGAGTAGAAGTCCGTTTTTCAAGGTAAAGTATCCCATTTTTCAAGGTCCTGCAGTCTAGTTCTGGCAGTCTCCTTTAGGCCTTCCGCCCCACTCCGAAAAACTGCTGGGTCTTGTGCGGGTCCTTATGGGTGTATCATGGGGGCTGCCCACCCTTCTAGCTACCTGCCTGTGGATAGCTTCAAGGGAGGGAAGCCCTGGGCCGAGCTGTGAACTCCTCGTATCTCCTCACCCCCGCTCGTGAACAGAATCCTCCGCAGGGGTCAGGGTCCATGATCATCCTTTCAGCGTGACTATCTACATCAGGAGTGGGATAGGAAATTTCGAATCTTTCAGGATTCTAGCTAGCAAGGCATCGCAAAATCATGACCGCAAAACATGCAATGGCTTGCGTCGTGCACCAGGATGCACCATTGTGATAGCATGGTATGTACATATACATATACAGTATATACATAATATATATATATGTATATAGAGAGAGAGCTCAGGAGAAGACGCTGTTGTCAAGTTTCCATTCTTTGTGAAAATACAGCTGGAGTGGATGGTACAGAAGAAGTTGCATGATTATCAAGCTGGTGTTGTTCGGATTCCATTCGTGTAGAAATACATCTCGCTTTGAACAAGGACATGGCTGAACCTTGTCGGGATCTGCATGAGTGGGAACAGAGAGCGGATCCCTATGACCGTTTATGGCGCTGCCAGTTCAGAAGCTTTCATACGACCTCGGCATAGCCCATTCTAGTTTTGAGTGGCCCTTAGGGAGGATTCTTTGACTCCTTCCTCGATACTCTTAACGATGGCTCCATCCTTGTCAGCTGCCCCCCGGAGAAAAGGTTGTACCTCGCCCCGGCCTCGCTGAAGGCCGCCGCCTTCTCAGAAGAGCTCGCTTTCACGCTGGCAGGGTCGTGGGTTTACGTATTGATGTTCCGCAGGTGCCTCAAGGACTTCCTCGGCCTCTGCATGAAGGAAGGCCCCCCCTCCTTCGCTCCCTTCCCAGGAAGGCAGCCCAGGCGCTTGTGATGCTGAGCCTCCTCGCCCCTGCATCCAACGTCGCAGCACCCTTCCTTGATACTGTCTTTTGCTCCATGGTTGCAGTTCAAAGTGGGCCTCTCCTATATCCTTCTGTGCGTCGGCCGTGTTATGGTCAATGACAATGCTCAGCGCAGCATCCCCAAGCAAGCGATTGCACTTGTTGTGTGACATCGAGGGCGCTGTTTCAGCGTAGTCAATGACATATTTCAGACCTGTACTGTACACCCGGCATTTTGGAATCGCCGGCTGCTGCCCAAAGACTTCCTGTTAATAAAGGAATGATCACACAGAGATCAAGCTTGATGGGCAAACAGAACAATCACCTTCGTGTTTGCAAGAGCGATGCGCTAAGGGCAATACCTGCCAGTGGCAACATGAAGAGTTTTGATGGCAAGTACTTGAGGCCTGTCTGCGCTTGGGAATGTACACCAACCCTCCTACTATTACTATAAGTACGGGCCCCCTAGTGTAGTAAAATATGCATCGTCTGAAACAGCCGAAAAGCTCAGATTGCGGGCAAGATGTCTGACGGTGTCAGGAGCATGGTGCAGTTCTGTGACTCAGCTGCTTTGTCCAGTACATCAGTGCCTCAACCGTGCAGGCTAAGTCCCACCAAAGCCATGATTTGGATTTGCTCACGCAGCCTTGATCAGCTTGAAGAGCCGTAGGATACAAAGCATCCTCAAAAAAAGCGACAGTAGTAGAATGACAACAGTGTATGGGGCGTTAAAGGCACCAATCTTTTAGGATTGTAGCAGGGGATAGATGCGTCGAACATGAGCACTCTGGTCCCTCCAAAGAGAATATGCAAAGGTTCATCTTCAAGTTTGCTAGCAGTGAGGAGTACAGAGTGGGATGACTTGTAGATGCTATGGAGGCAGAAGTTGAGCTCGGCCATCACAGAACACCCGTTATGGAGGAAGGAGTGGAGCTGCCACTCCGAAACAGGCAGTTCAGCCTACCAGTTTCGCATGACCAGACGTCCGGGGCGAGGATGGCAGCTGCCGTAGGTGACTCGGACTCTGATATCTCGGACTCTGATATCTCGGGTACTGGCAGGTTGAAGGCGGCGCGCGTGGCGTTGTGGGTATATACGGCGGCCCGCATTGTTGCCAACATCGCAGTGGCTGGGTGGAGCTTTGATGGCATTGTGAGGCCAATTATCACTGGACTTGGCGTTTATTTCTTCCTCCGCCAAGGCAGTCGCTTTTCGGAGCGATTGCCGACCAATGTTTGGGGCCGCCGGGCCATATGCTTTCTGGCATTGTTTGTAGCAGATGAAAGTGTGTTGGTGTTCCTCTCTGATGGTTGGGGTGGTGGCGCATGCAAGTTGATCCCGCTTATCTGGGAATTCCACGGCAATGTCATACAGGTACACATCATAAATCTCAGACTGGTCGTTATGGGATACCACAGGACTGCCAGGTTCAGCCAATGGGTCATAGGCATTGCCGCTGCTTGCCTTGCGGTAAGTACCTTTCTATACATCACGGCAGACACTCATCAAGAGTCCCGTGACCATGTTCATCAAATCAACATGCCCGGCAGCTTGTTTGTTGCTACTTTCCTTGCTGCGACATTGCCTCTCACCGTGGCCTTGCAGCGTCTTGCAAAACGTGCACATGACGAGTGCGTCATAGACGACGGAGAGCATTGCGGCGAGTATTTCTTTTCGGGCGTCAGCCTGCAATGCAGCACGCTTCTCAGAGTGCTGGGACCGGCTTTCAGCCTGCTGTCTTGGCGCGCCATCCTTGAGCACATGTTACTTCCGGTCCAATTATGGCGGACGCCCATGATGTGGGTGAGCGTTGATGCTGCAACCCAGGTTCTTTCCACACTTCTGACAAGCGGGATGCTTGGTGACTATGTTGATTCGTTCCTGGAGAGGGAACACGATTCCGAACAGTTTGCTTCTCCATGGTATTGGGACTGGATTCATGGCTTGCCTGCTTTTCCAGGAAAAATCAGGCCAGAGCCCAGCGAATGCGTAGTGTGCTTTCCTGCCAGGATTTACCCAGAATTGTGGCACAAAGCTCTTGCCAGTGCTCAGCAAAGTGATGGATGCTCGCTTGCTGATGTTTACCTGAAGGACCATGCTTCTGGTGTCGGGTGCCACGCTGAGAATGACCTACCGGGAGGTTGCTGGTGTCACTCCATCTATGGCAAGTTGTCTGGGAACGACTACATGAGGGACTTTGACGAAGAGTCAATCTCTTGTAGCGGCGATCGGCAGGAAGAGGAGCGCGCTGTGCAAAGGCACCTCCAGTTGGAAAACGAACTTGCGGAACTTCTGGGGCAGGTGTTGGTTACAAGAAAAAGGGGCATCAACAGACAGACGGCACTCGAGTGGTGTTGGGAGCAAGTGCAGGCTCTGGAAAGGGCAAAGTTGAAGTGCAAGGCAAACAATGGCAGAGCTCCTTGGGGCTGCATGTGGTTCGAAAATTGGCGGAAGAACGTGGAAGAGGCAGTCTCGCATGGTCACACGCTCCATGTATTCTACACAGAAGGGCGGGTTGGCCAGGGCAAGTTGTCATGGCACAGCCTGTCCCATGCAGAGGAGGAGGTCAGGCATCAGTATTGTGGCCTAGAAGAGTTTTATCAGATTCCTCAGGTTGCATACCTAGAACACATGGGATTGCCTTTTGAGGAACACGACATTCTGGACTTTGAAGTATTTTTCCTGAGGCAGAATTCATCTTCAGCAAAGAAGGAACTAGCTGGTGGTGGCTTGGCATGCGACAAACGAGTGGCTTTTCCAGGCAAAATTAACCTTGAGGCCACCAAGTGCATAGTCTCGTTTCCGGGCATCTACAGCCAGCAATGGGACAAGGCCGTCTCAATCGTCCAGAAGGAGGATGTTTGCTCTTTGGCTTGCGTGTTTCTCACAGACACTGATTCTGGCCTAGGTTGCCATGCTTCCAATCCTGACACACCGGGCCGCTGCTGGTGCCACATCATCTACGGGCAAGTGCCTGCAAGTAACTACCTTTGTGTCATTGATTTGGTTGACAAGCAAATGACTGAAGATGAGCTAGCCTTCACGCAGGCGGATGCTGCAGCCATGGGTAAGGTCGTTCTAATCAGACAACATCAAAATGAGCCTGAGTGGCTGGATGAACTGTCCCGTGCTAGGAAGGATGCCGAGGAACGCTGCAAAGCAAACCATGGCAAAGCTCCATGGGGCTGTATGTGGTTCGAGAAATGGAAGTTGAACGTGGATGAGGCAGCACTGAAGTATGGGCAGGAACTCCAGGTCTTCTACTTTGAAGGCAAAGTGGGGTGTGGCAAGCTTGACTGGGAGAAGCTTTGTGATGGAGAGGAACGGAGAAAGGCACGCGAGAGCACGGGCCTGGGGGCATCGCAGACGGCTGAAGTGGCATACCTGGAGAAGGTGGGTTATAAACACTACGAAAAAGATATCTCGGATTTTGAGAGCTTTCTTCTCCAGAGGAGAATGTCGCATATGAAGCCAGCGCATACAGCCTAGCAGCAGACTCCGATCTTGCCGGACTACAGGGATGAAGCAAGTGGGAACGGCCTGTTGGGGAAAAGACGCGGTGACCCATAAGACTAAACAATTCGTGGGCGCGACCTCTGGAGCGGCAACCTTTTAGGGTTTAGGGTTTCCTTAGGGTCAACCCTAAACCCAAATTAAAAGGCTGCCGCTCCAGAGGTCGCGCCCGGCGACAACTCCCAACAACATGCTCCCATGTTCCTTGTGTACTCGTAGCATGCGCTATCTCAAAATGACTTTAGCATGCATGCTGTTCTTGGCCATCATCCAGGACCCTCACGCGAACATTTACGATTCACTTTCTTGCGGAGGGTCCCCAAAAACACAGGGGATCCATACGACGAGCAAGAACGGCGTTCGCTAGCTTCTGCGTCGCGTATTTGCTGGGAAGTAGGCTTAGAAGCTGGTCACCCTAAACCCTAAACCCTAAACCCTAAACCCTAAACCCTAAACCCTAAACCCTAAACCCTAAACCCTAAACCCTAAACCCTAAACCCTAAACCCTAAACCCTAAACCCTAAACCCTAAACCCTAAACCCTAAACCCTAGGACCAAAATGAGCCTTTGAGGGTTCAGGTGCCGATATAGTAGGGCCCAACCCGGAGCAAAAAACTCGAGATCGCATCATGTGGGATCTAGAACCTCATTCCTTGGGTACATAGACCCTTATAAAAAAGAGCTTGACGAACTCCTGGCAATGTTGGGTTTACGTACCTCAGCTGTAGTATTTCGCTAGGTTTAGGCGTGCTGGGTCAGATTGTTGATCACGCCTCATGAAAGTGCCACTGCTAGGGTCCCAAGACCCACAATGCATTATCTTTTTGCCCTGCCCTGCATTCTTGCCATTGCCCCAGCGCTGCACCCCCAGACTCTGAATGAGCGCAACCCTGTGCCTGGTACATCTTCAGTGTTTTGTTCAGATGCTTCTGTGGCTTGAAAGCAAAACATGGTTTTGCAAAGACAGCTAGTTGAGGTGTGGAAAGCAGAACCTTAGAACAAGGAACACCCTGGACCGCCTCATCTACAACTTGACAGGTTTTGTCACGCCTCAAGTTCTCCAGGCCACTAACCTCTCCCGCGGTGGCAAGGCCTCCGACCCTCTGGAAGAAGCTTTCTGGGGGAAAAGTGCGGTCACTGCACTGACACATGCTTCGAATGAAAAGGTGGGTCTACTCCGCATGTTTGCAAGGCTTCTTTCTTGCAATGACTTCGCATAGTTCTGTATACAGGCCATTCATACCACCCCTGCAAGTTATGCGGGTCTCATGGGGGCCCATCTGCTGCAAAGTATGGGCTTCGAGGCCCCGAAGTCAGCTTCCCCGGTGCACCCCTGCGCGTGCGTGGCACACATGTCCCACCAGACGAGAGCACACAGGCAGATTGGAAGTGCAAAAAAAGGACATGGACCCAATGATGCTGATGATGCGAGCCCCGATGGCCAGCATCATTGGCGTCCTTGACGGTCAATTTCTTCGTTTCGGAGCTCCCCTATACTACCCAGTCAAATCTACTTTTTTCTCAGCTCCAGCTCAAGACAGGCCTTGGGTCCAGTTTTCAGATGGCACGTGCTCATGATGTTTTTAGGGGGGGTCGTGGTGGACGAAAACCTCCGTATGGCACTGGGCGGACGCCTCCAGAGCGCATGTTGATTTCTGGGGGTCCCTTTGGAGAAACGGAGGTTCGATGATACGACGCTGTCGTGAAGCTATGGCTACATCGCTGAAGCGAGCACAGCGTGACGCCAGGGGCAGGCAATGCCAGCGAGCAACTTGCGTGTCGAGGCCTCGCAGTGCTCGCGCGATGAGAAGGCACCTAAATGGAGAAATAGACCTCCAATGATGCCAAAAGTTTTGGCCAGCATCATCAGCATCATTGCGGGGCCCCTTTCTGCAATCTACGCTTTTCTCAGCTTCGGCCCAAGAGGGGTCGAGGGAAGGATCAGGGTCAAAGAGGGCATGGTCCGCTCTTGGAGGATCTAGAGGCTTTCAGGTTCAACCAGTGACCCGAAGCCCTCAAGCCTTCCGAACCTCTGGACTGATTTTGAGTGCTCCACCCTAAAGCCTAAGGCCTAAACTCCGCAGCCCTGCGAAGACAACCAAAGTAAGATGCCTTCCTCTAGCAATGTGGCCGAACGAGTGGCCTCGCGCCTACCCATGGGGAGGCAACCTTTGCTCGGATTCGGGGATTCGGGTTTCGGGCAGTACCCCATCGTTCTTAGTGAAAAAGGTTGCTTGCTTTCAACCATCGAATCTGTAAGTGGGTACCTAGGCTTTTCACCTTGGATGTAGAGGTTGCGTCGAGTCATGTTGGCGAAGGGCTTGGTTCGTAAAATCCAGGGGTGGTAGCCGCAGCTCAAGATTCAGGGAGGTGTTCAGGATTTCGTGTGCGGGGACTCAGGATGTAGGGTGTAGATGGTTTTCATCATGTACGGTTGAGCGCTTCAGGATTTGGGACTGTAGCAGGCAGCGTTGAAGGTATGAGGTGGCTTGGCTAAGGCGAATGTGTAAGGTTCCAAGTATGGGCCCTTTCTTTTCAGAAGCCTCTATATTCTTTTGTGCTTGCTTCTAGCCAGGAATGCTAGTTTCGAGGGCTGAACAGAAGAGATGACTTCCGGCTCCATAGCTTGCGCTTTACCTTGTGTTCAGCTTCTGCCGGCTTGACCTGGGAAGGCTATGCGCGGTCACATGCGTGAGGCCGTTCAGAGAGGGCTTGCCTGAAACGTATGGAGCTGCCTGCCTTTGTTGACACCTCAGGGACCTGGATAAGAGTGCATAGGGTAATTCAGCATGGGATCAAGAAGCAGTATGTTGCAAAGAAGACCATGATGGTGTTCAGGACTTGGGTTCAAGCCACCTTTTTCTAGGGTTTAGGGCAAATGGAGGGTTTATATGGGCTTCTTCCACTGAGGGCATGCTTTGTTGAGGTTTCTAGGGTTTAGGGCTGTTCTTGCTGCATGTTTCGGTATCGCTGGCTCTTGAGCTCGTAAAAGGCAGGAGGTCCCTAACAGTGCACAGTCACATCATGAATCCTCGTGTTTGCAATCACTTGTGGCTGGTTTATGTTGGGTTCCGTCCGTTCGTTGGTTTGCTTCTGTTGTGTATATGTGTGGAAAGTAGGTACCGGTCATGTGAGAGCGGACAGACATGTCCCGGCAAGCATTGGCAGTAGCAGAAGCGGGAGTAGAAGCAGTAGCTGTAGCAGCAAAAGTAGCAGTGTCACAAGTCAGTCGAAGTAGAAGTAAAGCACAAGAAGAAGGAGAAGTAGCGGTAGCGGTCGCGGTAGTGGTAGTGGTAGTGGCAGTGGCAGTGGCAGTGGTAGTGGTAGCGGTAGCGGTAGCGCTCGCCACAGCGGTAGCGGTCGCGGTCGCGGTAGTGGTAGTGGTAGTGGCAGTGGTAGTGGCAATATTTGCAGCCATTGTCGTGCTGGTGGTAGTGCTGCTGGTGGTGTCGCTCACGGCAATAAGAGTACCAGTTGCAACAGCCAGACTCGCAACTGCACCCGTGGTAACAACAAACGTGATCGCGCTAGTGGCACATATAAGAACAGCAACAAAGCAAGCCCAAACGCCCGTGTAAGGAGTGGACTCACTCATGAAAAGCATATAGAAGGGCTGCGTAATATTGGCACCGTGCAGTCGCACTTGTACGGGGCTGTGTAGTTGCAAGATACTGAGTTTTTGTCCTTACAGGTGATTTCCGAACCTATGGCGCAAAGGATTAGCTTAGACAATTCTACACTCGTGCTACTTGAGGTGGGGGATTCACTAATTCCTGGGCTAAGAATTCAGCGCATGACGTATCTTCCCCAAATAAGTGAACGATTCGGAATTCAATCATATCATCCATTGAAGAGATATGAAGAAGATTAATTGGGATCGAATCATCAATATCTATCTATGCTAGCGAAT